ATGAAACATTACTGTTTTTGCTCCTCCAGGCAGGGTAACACCTCTAGGGCTGCCCTTTGAGCTACTGAGCTTGGGGGAAGGAGTATGGAGGAAGTGAGAGGCTGTGTTCCTCCTGCTGACTCAGATGGGCAGCCCAGTAGGCAGATGTGGTTCCTCCACATGTAGCTGATTTTCACTTCTAGGGTAGAGGGAGAAGCGGGGTGGGTGGTGGTGGTATATTTGGGGAGTCTGAAAGGGCCCTGATGGTGTTGGGGACCCTCAGAATACAGGTGTCTTAAAGCCTGACCCAGCCTCTGTGTCCTCTTCCCTAGACAACAAGGAGGGGACAGTTGTGGGCAGGTGGTGATTGGCCTCTGGGGAAGGCAGCCCAGATTCCACTGGCCACCATACTTCCTTTTTCACAACTTTCTCAATGCTGTGGTTTCCCATGTCATCACAGGGCTGCTCCCCCTGCCAAGGCCTTAGTGGGGCTCAGGTATGAGCACAGTGTCAGGTGAGGGCCATCTGGAGGGGCTGGCTACTCCCTCCCTGTACCCCAGCCCTGCCCTTTCCCATGGCTACTGATGTCTTTCCCCTACCCCTGGAGGTGGCCTACCTCCCCATAGATCAGACCCACAAAAATCACATCTCCCTGACTGTCACAGGCCTACATCTATCTACACACTCGCTCGGAGAGACTTGGGTGCCAGGCCATGTGTTGGGAACTCAGACCCACACATACACGCATGCCAGTATTCATGCTCATGGTGTGCACGTGCAGGTGCATGTGTGACACACAGGGAGGACACGGTAGAAAGCTTTCAACCTCCACAGCGTTCTGCCTGCCTGAAGAGGTTCAGGTAGTCCTGGGCCTGGACATTGGCCCAGGGCTATGTGATTGAGTGGCCTCAGAATTGAGGACAGCATGGGCTTAAGCTAGTTGCCAGATGATCCTTGGTTTTTGCAGGTGGACCATGTGGACCCTAGTGAGCTGGGTGGCCCTAGTGGCAGGGCTGGTGGCTGGAACACAGTGCCCAGATGGTCAGCTCTGCCCTGTGGCCTGCTGCCTGGACCCAGGAGGAGCCAGCTACAGCTGCTGCAATCCAGTTCTGGTGAGTGCCCTTCACCCCAGGCAAGAGCTGGCAGACTCAGTTTTCCCAAAGGGTCATCTTGGACTGGTCAGAGGTGGCGGCCAGGCACAGGCCTTTTCTGCCCTTTCTTCCCAGGATCCACGGCCCATGGCACTGAGCAGGCGTCTGGGCATACCCTGCCAGACTGATGCCCATTGCTCTGCTGGCTACTCCTGCCTTCGCACTGTCTTGGGGACTTCCAGTTGCTGCCCATTCTCAAAGGTGAGGGTGCCATTAGTTTGATGGAAGGGCTCAGGTCTGCATTTGCACTTTTCCTGCATTCCCCTAGCCCCAGGGAAAAGTGCCTCACTGATGCAGGCTTCTCTGTGTCCCACAGGCCGTGTCTTGCGCGGATGGTCACCACTGCTGCCCACGGGGCTTCCACTGCAGTGCTGATGGCCGATCCTGCTTCCGAAGAGCGGGTGTGGCAGGGTCACAGGTGGAGGGTAGGTGGATGGGCACCATGTGCAGCCTGGTGCATCCAGGACCCCAGCCAGCCAGGTGGCCCCAATTCCAGCTCTGGCGCCCTCATTCATGTGGCATCTGTACTAACCAACCACCTATTCTGGACAGAGGGGCAGCTCTGGGGATAGTAGGGGATAGAAGAGAATGCAGGACTCCAGGCCAGGTCCAGGGATTGCGGGATTGGAGGAGGTTGACCCACTGTCCAGTCTTGCTGAGGCAGGGACCAGTGTGTGAGGAGGGTGGCTCTAGGGGTGCCTGGGAGATCACCAAGCTCTAGTACCACCCCACCCCCTGCAGCTAGGCCTGCAGGCCCTGGTACACCTGCTCCGTGAGTGATGGGGGATGACCTTCACCAGCTGGGTTGGTGAAATCCCGATCCTGCATCATCCTGTCCACAGATAACAACCCCCTGGGTGCTGTTCAGTGCCCCGGGAACCAATTCGAATGCCCCAACTCCTCTACATGCTGCCTTATGGTTGATGGCTCCTGGGGATGCTGCCCCATGCCCCAGGTACAGGTCTGGGGAGATGGGGGCATGTGGAAGGTGGCAGCGGCAGAGCTAGGGGCTGGGGCTGGGAAGGGACTGAGTCAAGATCATCTCTTCCTAGGCTTCTTGCTGCAAAGACAGGGTGCACTGCTGTCCCCATGGTGCCTCCTGTGACCTGGTTAATGCCCACTGCATCACACCTGAGGGCACCCACCCCCTGGCAAAGAAGATCCCTGCACAGAGGACTAACCGGGCAGGTGAGGAGGGAGAGCGGGGGCTGGGAGCCAGAGCGAGGCCTTATCTGACTCCAGCTGGGAGAAGTCCCCCCACCCCCACCCTGGTGGCTGCCCCTCATGCCTCACTCCTCTTCCAGTGGCTTTGTCTACCTCGGTCATGTCTAACTCGGTCCTGTGCCCCGATGGTCGGTCCCAGTGCCCTGATGGTTCTACCTGCTGTGAGCTGCCCAGTGGGAAGTATGGCTGCTGCCCAATGCCCAACGTGAGTGAGGGGCTGGAGCCAGCTTGGCTGTGTGCCCTCAGCCACCTGGCCTGGCACACGCCTTGCAGGGGCTCCAGGGGCTGGGGCGGGCTGGCTGGTTGCTGGGAGCCTGGCTGACTCAGGACTCATGCCACCCCCTAGTGGGGAATTGGGGCAGTGCCAGCCGTCAGCCTGTCTGCTCCCTGCACACAACTGAGACTGGAAGTCACAAAGACCCGCCCTTGTTCCCACGCAGGCCATCTGCTGCTCTGACCACCTGCACTGCTGTCCTCAGGACACTGTGTGTGACCTGAGCCAGAGTAAGTGCATCTCCAAGGAGAACACTACGGACCTCCTCACCAAGCTGCCAGCACACACAGGTACCGGGGGCAGGCCACAGACCTCATTCCACCTGCACCCCAAGGAGGGGCTGGCCGCCACACTGTTCTGGGCACAGGTCTGGGGGTGGGGCTCCCTTTCCTCCCCCTAGGTCTGACATCAGGCTAACTGTAGGGTGGCATCAGTGGTAACCTCCATCCTCACCACCTGTTTCCAGCTGTGGAGCTGGCAAAGGGTGGGTAGCCCTGAGGGTCTCTGGTGTCACTGCTGACCTGTCCTCTTTGCCTCGCTCACAGTGCAGGAAGTGAAGTGTGACATGGAGGTGAGCTGCCCAGATGGCTACACCTGCTGCCGCCTACAGACAGGGGCCTGGGGCTGTTGCCCTTTTACCCAGGTACCCAGGAATGGGCGTGGGTAGACGAGCAGAGGTGGCAGCCAGCTAGGGCCCTGTGCCCACTGTCCCTTCTCCATCCATCCCAGGCTGTGTGCTGTGAGGACCACATACACTGCTGCCCAGAGGGGTTTAGGTGTGACACAGAGAAGGGCACCTGTGAACTGGGGCGCTACCAGGTGCCCTGGATGGAGAAGGCCCCTGCCTACCACAGCCTGCCAGACCTACAAGCCATGAAGAGTGATGTCCACTGTGATAACTTCACCAGCTGTCCCTCTGCCAGTACCTGCTGCAAACTCCTGTCTGGGCAGTGGGGCTGCTGTCCTGTCCCAAAGGTGCATGAGTAAGGGGACAGCACTGGGGGGGCAGTGGCTTGGCCTGGGCTGGTGGGTGGCCAGACTCCTACCGCTTTGTTCCTCTGTGCTCTGCCTGGGTGATAGGTGACACCCAGCTCTGTGAGCTGTGAGCAGGAGAGGCGGGCTGGGGTAGCTTGGGGCTCAGCACTGCGCCCTACATAGTAGTAGACCACCCCTTCTTGCCCTCCCCCCAGGCTGTCTGCTGTGTGGACCATCAGCACTGCTGTCCCCAGGGCTACACGTGCACGGCCAAGGGGCAGTGTCAGAGGGGGAACAGGATAGTGGCTGGATTGGAGAAGACACCTGCCCGCCCCAGAGACATTGGCTGTGACCAGCACACCAGCTGCCCCGTGGGGCAGACCTGCTGCCCAAGCCTGAGAGGGGGCTGGGCCTGCTGCCAGTTGCCCCATGTGAGTGCCTGCTCCCCCTGGCCCCCCCTGCATAAGGGAGCTAAGTCCAGCAGGACAGGAGCGTAAGCGTAATGTCATCCCCCCACCCAGGCTGTGTGCTGCGAGGATCGCCAGCATTGCTGCCCGGCTGGGTACACCTGCAACGTGAAGGCCCGGTCCTGTGAGAAGGAAGTAGCCTCTGCCCAGCCCACTGCCCGCCTGGCCCAGGGGCCTCGAGTGGGTGTGAGGGACGTGGAGTGCGGGGCAGGGCACTTCTGCCACGATAACCAGACCTGCTGCCGAGACAGCCGAGGGGGCTGGGCCTGCTGTCCCTACAGCCAGGTCAGTGTCACCCCCCACCCTTGGGCTGGTCATGGCTGTGGGCCAGGTCCTGCCTTGTCCAACCCTCTCACCCCCTCTGACCATGCAGGGCACGTGTTGTGCGGATCAGCGTCACTGCTGTCCTGCTGGCTTCCGCTGTGGGGCCAGGGGCACCAAGTGTTTTCGCAGGGGGACCCTGCGCTGGGACACCCCCTTGAGGAACCCAGCCCCGAGACAGCTGCTGTGAGGGACAGGACTGAAGACACTCCATAGCCCTCCGGACCCTGCTCAGCGGGTGCCCACTGCTCAGGCCTCCCAGCACCTGTCCCCACCCACATCCTCCCACCCCACCATGCTGAGTCCTTCCAGCACCATGGGGGGTGGGGCCTCACTCTAAGGCCTTCCCTATCAGAAGGGGGGCTGTGGCGAAAGCCACGTTACAAGCTGCCGTGCCCTCCCCCAATTTCTGTCGACCCTGTGGCCAGGTGCTGTTCCCTATCCACAGGAGTGTGTGTGTGTGTGTGTGTGTGTGTGTGCCCAATAAAGTTTGTACACTTTCTTAACAGTGTCTGATTTGGCCACCCTGCCTGCCCTCTCCAGGGGCCCCCTGAGCAGGGGTCCTCATCCAGTGCCAACATCCCCCCACCCCACAGAAGGACACACGTGTCAACCTCACCAGTTTTATATTTGCTGTTGCTCACGACGGCCCCATCACATTACCCCCTAGTCCCCAGAGCTGCTCCAGCCACCAGCCCTGTGACATCGTAGCCCAGAGGTGGGCTAGTCAGCAAGCAGCACCCCCTCCCCTCCCAGGGGTCCACAGGGAACGCCCCCTCCCTTCCCAGCCCTTACACTAGCAGCTCAGGCTGGGCCGCCCCTCTGCTTCCCCACAATAGAGCTTTCTATGTACAGCCACGTCTATACAGGCACTGCTTCCCCCCCAGCCCTCCTCCCCAGCACCTCCCAGTGGGGGGCCGGACCCTCCCTCCCCTGGCTTGGAGGCAGACACAGGGTCCCTTCCCAAGACATTACCCAGCACATACCACAGACCGGCTCCGCAGGCCCCCAGGCACCTTTCCGCCGGAGGTGGGGCTAAGAGCGAGGGCCCCCGCAGGCCCCTGGGGAGCGCACCCTGGGCACCGGCCCGGGTGGAAGGGGCGGGGGCAGAGCCCGAGGCGGCTCCAGGCCCGGCGGTGACACTACTTGACGTTGAACACCATGAGCGGCCGCTCCTCCCGCCGCTGCCATGGGCTCTTCTTGTCGCCCGCCTCGTCGCCCACCTCCGCCCCCAGCTCGTCCTCCGGGCTGGTGAGTGAGTCGCGTCGAAGCTCGCTGGCGCTGCTGCGGGAGCTGTCCCCGCGGCTGCGGCCCCGCCCCCGGGGCACCGTGGCCGCCCGGCCCTCGGGCGCCGCCACCTCGTCCAGCAGCGGCGTCAGCGAGTTGTCCTCCGGGGAGCAGAGGCCGGTGCGGCTCTCGCTGCTGCTCGGCTCGGTGTCCTCGCTGAGCGCCAGGCGCGGGGGCGCGGGCGGCGGCGGGGCGGCGGGCGGGATGCGCTCCCGCTCCTCCCGCGGGGGCCGGCGGCGCGCGGGCCGCGCCTCGTGCACGTCGACGCCCGAGTCCAGGCTGGCGTCGGTGCTGCGGCCCCCGCCGCCCGCCTGCAGGTCGATGTAGGAGTGGCGCACTTGCGAGTTGGAGCGCCCGTCGAGGGACACGAACCAGGCGCGCGGGTGGGGCTTCACGCCCAGTTCCAGCAGCTTCTTCTCGGTCAGCGCCTGCAGCTCCCCGTTGAGCTGCGCCATGGTGGACTCGTTGAACAGCACCGGGATGGTCACGGAGCCGCTGACGGGCGCCGAGCGCCCGCCCCCCCAGCCCTCGCCGCCGCCACCCACGCCGCCCTCGCCCCCCGCGCCCGAGTGGCCCTGCATCAGCGGGCGCTGGGGGTCGGGCTGGGGAAAAGGGCGCGCGGGGCCGGGGGCCGCGCCCTCGGGCGGGGCAGGCTCGTCGCCTACGCCCGCGGCGCCCGCCTCGCCGCCGAGGCGCACGTAGTGCGCGGGGATCACCAGGGTGGGCATCACGTTGCGGTAGACATTGTCCTTGAGGTGGTCGATGGAGCCGCAGAAGATGAGCTGCCCCGCCTGGCTGAGCGACGGCGGCCGCGCCAGCTGGTCCACCGACTGCGACAGCAGGAAGTCGGGGGTCTTGCTCTCGGCCGCCCCCTTGTGGCCCAGGTAGTGATCGAAGGGCGGCGGCGGCGAGGGCGGCTCGTGCAGGAAGGCCGCGGCCCCCGAGGGCCCCCGCCGGTACTCCTCCAGGCCCGGCTCCAGCCCGCCAGGACCCTCGACCGAGCGGGCGCCCTTGAGAGCGGCACCCTCGCCCCCGCGGGCACCCGAAGGCTCGGCTGCCGGGCGGCTGGCAGAGCGCGGCTTGGCGCGGAAAAAGTCGTCCCGGGAGGCAGCCAAGTCCCGGGAGCTGGAGAAGGCCGAGTGGAGGGGGCCTGGAGGCGGAGCCTCGGGGTCCCCCGACGGGGCGGGCTCCAGGGGTCCCCCACAGATGAGGTGGAGCTGGGACATCGAAGTGGCCTGATCTCGTTTGTTACCGTCGGAGGGTCCGGAGAGCTGCAGCTTGCGGTGCTGTTGCCGGGGCTTTAGGCAGCGCCTCCTAGGGAGGAGGGAGCAGACGGGGATCCTCAGGAAAAGGGGAGGCCCAGAGTTGCTCCCTAACAACTTGCAAGGTGAGGGAGGGGCGCAGTTGGAGGGCTGGGGAGAATGCCTGGGCCCATTCAGCAGCTGTGCACGTTTGTGTTCCCCTGGGGTGAACTGTGCGCTCCTCTGCCAGTGGGAGGTGCCACGAGAACCTGGAAAGAGCACCTCAGCCAGCAGGGTGTCGGGCCTGGGGTCTCCTGGCAGCGAGAGCGGGGCTGGAAGGAGCAGCCACAGCTCACCACAGGAGGCGCTGGCCTGCAGGTCCTGCCTCCTGCCCGCCCCCGCCCCCCACTCCACTGCCCCTCCTAAGCCACCAGTCTTTCAGGGCTTTGCATGTGCATATGAAGTCCTTTCCGTTCAACATTTGAGGACCAGAGTTGTGTTTTATGCACGTGTGGGGCCCAGTGCCCAGCGCAGGACCAGGCACAGTGCGGCCCCAGTGCGCAGAGAGGAGCTGGGTGCTCACCGGCAGTAGTAGATGAGCAGACACAGCAGGATGAGCAGCAGCAGGGCCAGGGCTGCCAGGATGGTGAGCAGGAAGATGGTGTGGTAGGTGCCAATGTCCTGGATGCCCGATGTGATGGTGACCAGCCCTGTGCCAGGCGAGGGCTTAGCATTCAGGTGTGGACACTCTTCCTGCCTTTGAGGAGGAGTGCACTCTCCCGCCCCCCTCTCCCCCACTCCCCCACCCCCACTGACCCACTGCTCTCACCAGCTGTGGGGGAGGCCATGGCAGCCACCCAGTACCCCAGCTGGGGGGAGACGAAGGTCCAGTAGAGCTGCCGGCCTTCCTTCCGGATCACGCCAGTGCCATTGCGTACCCACAGCCCTGGGAGAGGCAGCAGTTGGATCAAACTCAATGTCCTTCCCATCTCAGTCCCACTTTCCTCCCCCAGCTCCAGCCCCGCAACCCCTGGAGGCACTTACCACTCTTGGGGTCGAACCTCCAGGCTGGAATACTGGTGCCCACAGCAAGGGCACGTGCCTCTGAGGGCACAGGCAGGGACAGGTGAATGGGACCTGAGAGCGGCACCTCTGTCCCATTACCTGTTAGCAGGTGCACACTCACAGCAGCCAAGGGCATCAGCTCCAGCCAGGAGCCATTGCCTGAGGGAAGAGGACACAAAGGCTGAGGGCTAATCCTGGGGCAGTGGCAAGGGGTTTCAGGGAGACCGCTTCCATGCCAGGCATCCGGCATACCTGAGCTGGACGCCTCGGTGCCCAGGAAGGCAGGGAAAGCCCGCATTTCCTGCTGGGTGCTGGCAGGTGTGAGCAAGGCCCAGAGCTGGCTGTAGGTGGAGCTGACAGGTAGGCGGGCAGCCCGGCGCTGGAACTGCACCCAGGGCTGGGAGCGGGCACCTGGATGGAGAGAGGGGGTGCAGTAGCCTGGCCAGGGACAAGGTTTCCCAGGCACCAGAGCAGAAAGCCAGTATCCAAGGAGATGGGGAGCCATTGGGTCAGGCCAGTTGGGAAGGCCAGGGAGGGTGATCCCCTGGGGAGAGACCTGGGCAATCATAGAATGTTAACCTGGCAGGGACATGGACTGGGAATTGCTGTGTGACCCTCAGCAAGTTACTCGCTCTCTTGGAAACACTTTTTCCTTAAAAACCTATAAAATGCTGAGGTTCGGATCATCAGGCAATTGTATTGTCTACAGCGCAGCATGCACTGGGTCAGATACCAGGATGCAAAGATGAGTAAGACAGCTCCCTGCCTTCAAGTTCACAGTCTAGCGTGGTGCCATCCCTTCCAGTACGTACTAGAACTCGCTGCTATGCTGGGAATGTTCTTGTACTGCCCATTACGGTACCCGCTAGGCACATGTGGCCGTGAAACATTTGTGGCTGGTGTGACTGAAGAACTGGATTTATTAATATTATTAATTTTTAAGAATTTAATGAATTTTTAATTTAAATCATTTCAATTTAAACAGACACATGTAGCTAGTGGCTACTGCATTAGAAGCTTAGGTCATATGCACATGTGCACATGTGTTGGGGTGGAAGGGACAAACATGTAAACAGAATTCCAATGCAGTACGGCCATAGCTAACATTTATGAAGCTTTAACAGGGGTCCTCAAACTTTTTAAACAGGGGGCCAGTTCACTGTCCCTCAGACCGTTGGGGGGCCGTTGGAGAGTGCGGCACACATTCCACACATGCGCACTGTGGGCCCGGGACGAGTCGGCTGCTAAGCAGGACAGGCAGCAGCGGCAAAAACACCTGGCGGGCCGGATAAATGTCCTCGGCAGGCCACATGTGGCCCACGGGCCATAGTGTGAGGACTCCTGGTTTAAGGTATACTGGACGCTGTTACCTATATTAACTCTTATAATTAGGACAATAGCCCCTGAAGTAGGTGCCTTTATTATTATTAACCCCATTTTATAGGTGCAGAAATGGAGGCAGAAGTTCAGTAACTTGCCCAAGGTCACAACCTCAAGCCTGGATTAAAGCCCAGCCTCTCGCCCACCCTTCCATCCGGCCTCGCAGTTAAAACAGAGGGACGCAGGGGCCTGGGGGAGCTTGGCCACCAGCTCGGGGAAGCCCCCATGGAGTCTCGCAGGATGAGTAAGACTCAGACAGGAAAGGGAGAAAGGTCCAGAGGCCTGGGGCAGCGGCTGTCCAGGAACTGCAGAGGCAGGTGACCAGAGTGCAGGGCCAGCGTGCAGCTGCTGTCCGGTCCCTGAGGGCCCTGCCAGCTCTGGAAAGGGGCCTGCACTTTGTACTGAGGGCTTTAAGCTAGCAGGTAACCTGTCTATTGGGCATTTTAGAAACCTTCAGGGACATTTAGAAGCCTCTGGAGCAGAGTGATGAAGATGAGCACACAAGAGCTTGGTGACAAGGGCTCCAGCTGAGAATATAAACTGGGAAGGGGTTTCTCCCACTCCAAACCCCACTGTGGCTCTCTAGCATTAGCCGGGTGGAGTCCGGCTCACTCACTGTCCCCTTCTGCCCTTCACCTCGATGGCTCCCCCAGGCCTTCCTCTCCGGGGAAGATACCTTTGCTCCCCCTTCACTCCCGCGTCCACACGGTCTCACTGTTCCCTTCAGCAAGCTCTCACCGGCCTGGCTACGCTTGCAGGGTAGGGTTGTCTCAGCACTGAAAGCAGCTGCCCTCTACTCCACTGCCCTGCCTGCTCTGTAACCACTCCAGGGTTTGCAGTGATCTGTCTGCCTGCTTGTCTGAGAACTCCACGAGGCAGGGAGCAGGTCTTCGTCACTACCGCTCCTCGGCACTGGCCACGATGCCTGGCACAGTGTAAGTGCTCAAGCAAGTACTAGTTACTGAGACTGAAAGCTTGTGGGTGGACAAGGACCACTGTGGGATTGCTGTGCCTTGTACTTATAGGGGTAGAGCACCTGTGGCCTTCAAACATAGCCAGGCACACAGCAGGTGCACAACTAACCCATGTAGATCCACTAAGGATAAGGGTGGCAGGGAGGTAGGAATAGAGGGAGAATAGAAACCACGAGAAGCCCCAATAACTATAAACATTTATTGAACACCTTCTATGCTGTTTTTTTTTTTCCATGTTTGATGTTATTTCATCTTTACCTTAATTTGATCCTTCCACATGTTACAAATGAACAAGTTATGGTTCGGAGAGGTTAAGTGACTTGCTCAAGGGCACCCAGCTAATATGTAAAGTAGCAGAAGTCTCCATACCCAGGTCGGGGGAAGGAAGAGGCGCTGGGGTGGGATCGGGAGAAGGAGCCTTACCAGGAGAGCCTAGGAGGATGTGCACAAGGTCCTCATAGAGGATGAGGGTGGCCGGCCGCTCAGGGAGTAGGTAGAGGCTGACGGATGCATACACTGCAGGAGGGATGGCCTGTCAGCTCCAGAAAAAGCCACCCCCCACCAGGCGCCCCCTCCATCTGAGTCCCAGTGGCTTCACCCTCCCTCAGCCCCCTCTGCGTACCCCAGCCCAGAAGCAGCTGCTGGACAGCCTGCCCCTCCGCCCCCAAGGACTATTTTGGGAAGGGGCTGACGCAGGGTCAGCTGCTGTCCCCCCCCCAACCTGCCCCTGCACTCACAGGGCAGCTTGTCAACACGCCAGGGCACAGAGTTGGTGAGGAAGCCAGGGCGGGCAGCAGTGACCAGCACCCAGGTGCCCAGGCGGTAACTGAGGGGCAGAGTGGCCACACCCTCTGAGTCTGTGGTGCCAGCCGCCAGCAGAGTCCGGTTCCCAAACACGTCCACTGAGGCCCGGGCCAGGGGCACCAGCTCCCCGCTCACATACACCTGCACCTTGATCAGGATCTCTGTGGGCAAGATGGAGCGAGGGGAGTGAAGAGGGAGGGGGAAGAGAACAGGGGGAGCCCCAAGATCAGAGGAAGGGGTCTTGGTTGGGAAGGGCTTTGGGTTGAGGCTAAAGAAGGTATGGTAAGAGCCAGTAACTATAGAGCTTAAACCTCACATTGGCCCGTGAGGTAGGTGGGACCATTACTGTATTTCATCAAGTCTAACACATGCACTTTGTCACATTTGAACATTTCTGAACTCAGCCTATGTCTATGCTTGATGATGTCATAATTACAATTGGCAGCATTTTTTCCTTTCATACTGGTACATGAGATAATGGTGCATCGTACAGTCAATGGTGTATTAGATTTGATAAAATATGCCTTTAGCCCATTTTACAGTTAAGAAAACTGAGGCTCAAAAGTTTAGATACTTGCATTACAGTTAAGTGGGAGATCTGGGATCTGAACCTGGCAGTCTGCCTCTAGAACATAAATTCTTAACCAGTGGATCCTACAAGACCAGTGTCAGGAGAGGAGAAGGAAGGGAGGGCTGAGAAAGGATGAACAAGTGGAGAAGCAGAGATCTGCAGGGGGAGAGGAGGGAGGTCAAGACCCAGCAGTTTGGAAAGGAGGGTGGAGGCTAGTTTAGAGTTTGGGTTCTCAGGGAAAAGTTGAGAAGGGGATACTAGGGAACTGGTCATTCCCATGATTCATCCTCTTCCCAGAATCCTTTGCACAAGACTGTGTCCCTTCAGACTTAGGGCTACTCACTCCAACCCTGTGCCCAAACAAGTACCCCCTGCCCCTCCCTCTCACATGCACAGCCTGCCCCCTCCCAGCTGGTCCGCTACAGTCAGTCACCATGGCAACGCCCTCATTCCTCCCAGGAGATCAGGCAGGGAGCTGGGGCCCTGGCAAGGGGAAGGAGATGGGGTGGGGCGACCCAGGCCTGAGGGAAGCTGGTGTGGAGGGGCCAGGAAGGGAAGTCCAAGCCTTTTGCTTTCCAGGGGAGCTTCTACCCTAGCCCCAGGACAGTCCAGCCAGGCTATCCTGCAGGTGTCCTGGGCTCAGCGGGGTGATAGGGGAGAGACAAGGCCTTCCCCAGGGAGCCTCTGTGACCCCTTCCCACATAGCATGGCCCCTCCTTCAAGAAACAGCTCACTCCTACCTTGCTACTAATAGTGGGTGTCATGCCTGGAAAGGAACAGAGGCCCAGGAGGCAGGTGGGGAGTGGGCTGGGTGCTGGATGCAAACCTAGGGGAGCCTGGGTAGACAAGGAAGAGTCTAGAGCTGAGAGCAGCAGGGCACAGGGAGGTCAGGGGGCTCTGTGGAGACTTCGGGAAGGGGAAGGCCTTAGAGTAGAGCTTGACACTCAACAGTGACAGGTGTCTTATCTCTGGCTTCCAACCAGGGGCCAGCACCACGCCTGCCCCTGGCATCCCATCCAGCTGTTCCCCTGAGCCCACCACCCCCTCCCCTCCCAGGCAAGAGCCCAGCCCTGCTGGCTGGGTGCATGCACTTGGCCTACTCTCTGGTTCTCCAAGGAGCTGGCGGCCTCCCCCTCCACCACCACCCAGTAGGAATTCTGAGAAGCTAGAAGGGCCTGGCCAATCCCCACCCCTAGCCTAGGCTAGGAGCAGCTGGACAGAGCAGCTGGGAAGAGGGGACCCAGAGGTCTGAAATACTGTCATTTGTGGGAATGCCTTGGGTTCAAGAGCCAAAGCCTCAGAAGAGGGAAGGGGCAGGGAAAAAAAAAAAACAAACAAGGGTGGGCAGGTAAGGCCTCAGTGCCAAGCTTAGGTGCCCTAGCGGTTCCCTTCTCCCCTCCCCTCAACCTGGGCTCCCAGCCAGCTGCCTGAGAGAGCCCCTATCCCGCTCTATTCCAGCCAATTCCCCGGGCCCTCTCCCTGGGGTGCAGGGACTTGAGGGAGGAGCTTCCTGAGAAACTAGGGCCTCTTCCTATGAAGCAAAGCCTTTCTCCTCCCCCGGGGAGCAGGGGAGACTGAGGCACCGGGAGACCATTCCCATCCCTCAAAGCCTGGCATTCCACACAGTAGCCCTGCCTGCTCTGGGGCTTCAGCCCTGCCTCATTCCAGGAGGAAATCCCACCTCCCCCCTTCATCCGGACCCCACTTCCCTCATCCAGACCCCGCCACCCTGCTTTTCCTGCCAGCTCCTTGGTGGTGGTAGGGGCTGGAGAGGTGTGGAGAACACTGGGCAGGCAGGGAAGGCGAGAGCAGTCGCCAGGGTGGCAGGGCAGGAGGCTGGGAAGTGGGCGCAGGGCGGTTGTGGGTGAGAGCCCCTGAGCGGCCACGCCAGGGTGTGGGGTGTGGGGTGTGGGGCGTGGAGCCCCGGTCTTGCTCTCCCGCTGCGGGAGCCCGCCCCACCCCCACCTAACACACCCACCTGGGCCCGGTGAGGCGCTGGGAGGGTCTCCACTGCAAAGGAGAGGTGACATGAGGAGGGGGCGGTCTGGGGGTGGGCAGGCTACAGGAATGGCAGAAGGCTTGCTGGACGCGAACCCAGGCACCTGCCCTCCCAGCCGGCACTGCCCGTAGCCAGCCAGCTCAGCATGGCTCCGCGACCACAGCCCTGCCATGCGCCTTGAGCTGGGAATCACAATGTACCCCTTTTCTCAGAGCCCCCTAACTGCAGGCCCTTCTCCATCATGGGCTGATCAGCGTTTATTTGGTGCACCCCAAATTCTAAACCCAGGGGCAGGCTGGGGGCTGTGAGCCCACAGGGCGAAGAACCCCATTAGAGCAGTCAATCCCGCCCACAGCCTCACCCACTCCCCCTTCTCCCCTCCCCCCTTCAAACCCAGCTCTAGGCGCCCAGCCCCCGTCCCGGCCTAGGGTGGCAGCCGATGCCCGCGCCCCCACCCAGCAGGGGTCGGGAGCGAGGGACCCGCAGGGGGCTGCGGAGCCGGCGCCCGCCCCAGCCCGCCCCTGGGCGGGTGTCTTCGGTAGACAATGGCTCGGGCAGCAGCGCCTCGCGGACCAGGAGGGAGGAAAACAAGTCGGGAAGGGGCGGCGGCGGCGGCGCGAGCCTGTGGACCCCCGCCCTGCCATTGTGTCTCCCCGAGACCCCCACTCCGGACGGCCTCCGTCTCCCCCATTCCTCTGTCCCCCACAATCGCCGACCCCAGGTCGCCTAGCTTCCCCCACCCAAATCCAGGCAGCAGAATACCCCCAATTCACGAGCGCCGCGAAAAGGGGGCTGGCAGACGGGGGTCTGACCAGGGCGCAGGCCCGTGATCGCGGCCCCTCCCGGCGAAGACTCACCCTGCGGGCTGGGGGGCTCCGGCGGCGACTTGCCGGGAGCCCGGGAGGCGCCGCCGAGCAGCAGCCCCAGCAGCGGCAGCAGCCGCGCGAGGACGCTGGGGCCACTCGGCGGCGGCATCGCGGGGCTCGGCCCGGCCCTAGCGGTCCATGGCTCCCGCCCAGCCCCGCTCGGCCGGCCCGGCTCGGCCCCAGCTCTGCGCCGCCCGCGCTGCTCCGGCTCGCGCTCCGGCTGCGGCGCCCGCTCAGCGCGATTGTCTCCGCCGGAGCCGCCGCCAGCGCCCCCTGCAGGCGGCGCGCCACACCGCGGCCCCGCGCCGCCTCTCGGCCGCGCGCCCGCCGCCGCCGCCCGCAGACCCTCAGCGCTGCCCACCGCCGGCCCACCGCGCAGCCACCACCCCGCGCTCTCGACGGCGAGCTGCAGGGGACCGCAGTGATTAGGGTCCCATCGCAAGGGTTCTTGGGGAGTTCGAGAACCCCCGAAATTTGGTGCAAAATTCGGAGGAAGGATGATGCTAAACAACACACTCTCAGAAAGGTACAATCACGAGGGTCTCAAAGTGTAAGAACCTCCTGTTCTAAGGCCCCCGCTCCGCACACTCACGCAGTGCTAGGGCGCTAGCTGCGCAGCCCACTTCTGAGCCTCTTACGAAGCCAGGGGCAAGCACTGAGCATTGTGGTCCTCAGTCTTCCTTTTTCTTTTTTAGATAGTCTTGCTCTGTCACTTGGGCTCGAGTGCCTTGGCCGTCAGCCTAGCTCACAGCAACCTCAAACTCCTCCTGCCTCAGCCTCCCAAGTAGCTGGGACTACAGGCATGCGCCACCATGCCCGGTTAATTTTTTTTTTTTCTATTTTTAGTAGAGATGGGATCTCGCTCTTGCTCAGGCTGATCTAGAACTCCTGAGCTCAAGGGATCCTCCCCCCTCGGCCTCCCAGAGTGCTAGGATTACAGGCTTGAGCCACGGTGCCCAGCCCTCAATCTTCCTTTAAAATGGGAGTTGTAATACTCTCTACCGAGTAGGGCGGTTGTAACATGAAAGGAGACGATGATGTAAAGGGTCTAGCACAGCCTGACGAGCAGGGGTGCGTAAATGGCGCTGTTGTGGGTCCAGGGAAGGTGAGGGCTCACCTCTGCCCAGGTACTCAGGTCCATTGCTGGGCAGGAGTAAACGTTAGGAAGCTTTTCTGGAGGTGGAAGCAGCCTTTCTCTCCTGCCGAGAATAACCATTTGGTCCAGCTGGTTCTGGCTTTCTGAATGACAAATGAGGGCTCTTCCTTTTTCCTCAGCCGTTGAACCCACAAGACAGCAGCTGGCCTGCCCTACCCCACACCAAGCTCTCTTTCCTTCCAGTTCAATATTTCTGGCTGTGGTATCACTCAGTTTCCACGTGGCCAAATCCTCATCTAATCTGGTATCCCTCTCCTGGTTCTCTCTGGCTTGTTACCCTCTCTCGCAGTGTGATGCCCAGGAGGGGACTGGACACTTAGGGCAGGTAGGGACCTTATCCCCAGAGAGCAGCAGGCTTCCCTCCTGGTTGGGTCCACTGGTTGTGTCTTCTGACCTTGTTATTTATAAGCATGTAGACAAAACAAAACCACCATTCTCTCCCTCTCCCTCTCTCTCTCTCTTCTTCCTTCCTTTCTTTCCTTCCTTTTTTCTTTTTCTGTTTCTTCCTTCCTCCCTTTATCCCTTCCTTCCTCCTTCCCTTTCTCTGTTTCTTTTTAACAGAAATTTCCATCTAATCAGACTTCCCAGTCCTATTATTGTGTAACAAATTTTTTGGAAGCTCAGCACAGGACTTAGCACTCATCCCTGGTGAATTTCATCTTGTTGGTTTCAACCCAACTTTACAATCTGTCAAGGCTGCCTTGAATCTGCTTCAGTCACCCATTGTATTGGAGCTGGCTCCCCGAGGCAGCCATCTGCAGGGTGAAGTGGCTTCCTCTGCCTCCATTCGAAGGGCTCATGACTTTGCCAGGCAGCCCAGGGCCAGGGTGGAGCTTTGGGACACCCCCATAGAGATCTCCTTCAGCTTTATGGGACTTGTTCAGGTCTAAATCTGAGTCTTTATGATCCAGCTCACATTTCTTCTGTCTTGTCTAAAAGGACAAATGCCAAATGCTTTGCTGGATCAAAACAAGTGGTCTGGGGCCATCCAATTGCAATGACAGAAGGGGGAGGGGATTTGGCTGGTGCTTAAGGATCATGGCTTAATTTTTTCTTAAATGCTCACGTGTCACCCAGCTAGAAACCTGTTCTGAAACTTGCCATGCATGGATGTCAAATTATTCTTTTCAGAATTTACCATTTATCCCTTTAGGCAAAATGAAATACCAGCAGCTCTTGTGAGGTAAGCCTGTTCATCAGTGGCTTCCCCAGCACTTAGCATCAAGTCCAAAGTCCTCTCCAAGGTCACAGGGTGTGCCTGTCTGCCCCCCACCTCATCTCCCGCACCCCTCAGCAACCCACCTCCAGCCACATGGGCTTCCTTGTTGCTGAGTAAACACACTAAGCCTGCACCTTCCTCAGCCTCTCCGATGTCTGCTCCTTCTGCCCCAAACACTTTATCCACGCAGCCTCGGGCCAGTCCCTCATTCTCGCTCACCCCATCAGGGAGGCCTTCCCTGACCACACTACCTAAATATCAACCGCCTCCCTACACCCACGGACGTCCTTTCACCATCTCCTTACCTGTACTTTCACTCACAGCACTGACCAACACTTATTTATTTACTTTTGACCTCCATTTGCATGTAAGTTCCATGAGGACAGGGACTTCACTTTGTTCACTTCAATCCCAGCTCTGGAATAGTACCAGGCACAAGGCGGGTGCTCACTAAATATTAATTGAACACATGAATCAACAAATCCCTCAGGAATACAGGGGACCTCGCCACCTCTGTCCCCGACTCCAGTCGCCCCAGTTGGAGGGTTGTCTTCCATTCCTCACCCTCTCTCCTGGCTGAAGACCTTTCTTGGTGGGGAAGCAGGAAGAGCAGGGTAGCCAGGGAGCAATGTCTGCTCCCCTCTCCCGTGTCACACTGCCTTCCTCAGGCTAAGGGCTTAGCCAGCCTCCCTCTGCCCCTTCTCACTCCAAACACAGCTTTCAAGGCATTTTTTGGTAGGAAGGCAGGGAGAGCATGCTATTTCCCCAAGCCTCAGGTCATTATGAAGTTTACCTCTTCAAAATCATTAATATATATATATATATATATATATATATATATATAATTATAATTCAAGCTGCCTACCAGGGACCCCACCTTCTCTGATGCTCCCACCCCCATCCTACCCATCCTCAGACACACCCACTCCCCAACCCTCCCATCCCACCCCTGCCCCATCTCTCCTGGAGGCCATGCCCCCTGTCTCCTTCATTTCTCTCATACCTGCCCTCCCAACCCCACCATGCTCTACTCCCTGACACTCCCCAAAGGTGGTGATTTGCAACCTTTGCCCTGGCAGAGACCCTCTCTGCTCACACTTCCACCAGCCTAGGTTCCCCCTTCTCCCCTGGCCTTAAGGAAGACAGCATGCTGGGGTTTGGGACTTAGCCTCTTTATTAGGCTAAGGAAAGGGGGTGGAAAGGGGGAAAGGGGGTGGCCCAGTGTGTTGGGAGGGGAAGAACACCAGCAGGGCCCAATGGAACAGCTCCGACCCATGGGTATGAGAGCTCCAAGGCAACTCAGTGGAGAAGGGGCACAGCAGGCACCACACCCAGCCTTCCCGCTAGAACAGAGCGGGCTGTGCTGTCACTCCTCCTCTTCATCTTCTTCTTCCAGGGGTGGCTGATTCCGCTTGAAGAAGCCAAGCTGGGGGTGCACAGAGGCCAGGGTCAGTGTATAGAGATGATCCTTAGGCCCCCAAGCGTCGGTAAGGAAGTATGCTAGAAGCCAGCCAGCTATGAGGTCCTCTCCCTGGACCAGCACAGAACACAGACCCCACTGTGTGCACAAATAGAGGCCTTTCGCCATTTAGGGAGAATGCATGTAACAAATAGTTGATTTTCCTTTTTCAATTTTTGGCTTTTCTCCCCTGAATTTTTCTTAAATACTGAAGTTTGTGTCTATAAGACTCAAGCACATTATGATATGTGTTTGGCTATTATAGGTCTAATGTGTGGTTTTCCCTAAAAGCACCATGTCGTCCCAGGGCATGGACACTTGTCTCCAGGTGCAGAGGAGTGGCTGACCCTCCAGGGCCTCTAAGGAGGAAGGAGCAGGGTCTGGACTAGTCCTTGGGTCTCCTGCCTCACTCGAGGGCAAGGACAGAGCTGTGAGAAGGTGAACTCTGTCCTCCTCAGCCAGCAACTCCTGAAGGCAAGACTCATTCCCTGTGACTGTTTGGGGGGGCTAAAGGCCTTAGGATTCCAGGTGCCACCCTTCCAGGGCTTTGTGCCTGGAAGAGGTCCCCTGGAGAATGACATTCTAATAGTGGAGACACAGACCTTCAGCTACCATCTCTCTCTGCCCCCCTGTGAAGTAGGGCAGGGCCAAGCCTGTGCCCGCCTGGGGACCCCACCCTCCTTCATGCCTCACCTTCCACATGGCCAGGACCAGGAGGGTGAGCAGCAGCAGGCCGCCCAGCGCGCCCACCAGCACCCACCAGATTGGAACAGGCCTTTCCTCAGGCACCCGAAGCAGCTTTGTCCGCACCTGGGGGCAAACCCACGTGTCTCCTCAGTCATCTTGACACCTGCCTTTCACAAAGACTTAAACCTGGGGCTGGTGACCTCACGACCCCCCATACCACCTCTCAGACCCAGGGAGGCCCCGCCCCCATCCCTGCTGGGCACTGCCGCAGGAAGACCAGTGGGTCCTGCAGGACTCATCTCTGCTCCGCCCTCCACTCTCACCACGGCTTCCCCGCTGGGCAGGCTGAGCGCGGGCACCGCGTAGGGAAGGGAGGAGACGTTGAACCAAGCGTGGGACTGTAGCTCAAACTGATCCAGGGGCCTCTGCATGGGGTGGGGGTGAAAGCTATTTACACCCACGGGAGACCTATTAGTTGCGGGAGTCCAAGCCCCAGACAGCCCGCTGCCCCCTCCCCTGCCCCTGACTAATCCCGCCTGCTGGAGACCTCCTTCGTCAGTCTTGACTTAGCTCTTTTTCCGTCCCCTGAAGCCCCGTCTCTCCCCTGAGCAAACTCTGTCCCGCCTCGGAAGGCCCCGCCCCGGCCCCGCCCGCCCCGCCCCGCCCCCCCACCTGGCGGAGGCTGGGCAGCCACAGGAAGGCCAGCACGGTGACCATGGCCCGCTGCCCGCGCGCCATCTCCTGCAGCTCACACTGCACCACCGTACAGGGCGCCGAGTCGCAGCTCTGAGGGGACGAGTCATCAGTCCTCAGCCCCTCCTGGTCCATCATCACCCCCTCACCCCAAGGACCCAACACAGAGGGAGCCAGGGAGGTTGGGAGGCTGGGCTTGCTCACATACTCCCAGAGATGCGGGGACAGGGCTGGAAGAAGTGGGTCATCCTACAGCGTTCGATACCCAGATTTTTTGTAGCCTTGCCTTGGCATTTTTTTTTTTCATTTTCTTTAATGCACTGGAAAGCTTCAAAAGGCCAAGTGCCTCTCATCCCGCCCTAGCTACGAGTCAGCATACCCCTTCCTATTCACCTGGAGTGCTTGGGTGGCCCACCTGAGGCTCGCATCACACTCTGGGCCCCTCTAGCTGGAGAACACACAGCCTGCTCACCACGAGAACCAGGTCCTGAAGCTTCGAGGGCTGCTTGGGCCCTGGGGGTACGGCGTGTCTGCGGTCCCGCCGGTGATGCCCAGGGTGGCTGGGGGAAGGGCTGGGGGTGGGCAGCCTCCAGTCCAGCTGGGGAGGCAAAGCAGCACTCAGGCCCAGTGGTCTGTCCATCTACCCCATCCAGAGGTGCCCCAGTGGTGGGTTGGGGGCCTCCCCAATAGCTCTTTCTCCCACCCAGGCTCTCACCTTGAGAGGGTTGGGGGAGGGCTGTGGGGAGCACTCAAGGCCCCCCTGCGGCTGTATGTCCAGGATGTAGAGCAGGTCAGAGGGCTGAGACTGGCTGGGGAGGTGGATGCTGAGGCGGAGGCCACTCACAGTCCCAGGGCCATTGTTGTGGAGCTGGGGGTGGGGGGGATGGCAGGACGGCAGGGGGCTCCACATCCAGCCCACAGCTCTTAAGACCCTCTCACCTCATCCCTAGACCCAGAGGCTCCTCCCTACCTCATAGGTGTGCTCCACTTTGGGGCCCAGGCTGTCCGAGCTGTCCTGCTCCCTGTCACCTTCTTCTGCCGCCACCACCAGGGAGGCTGGAAAGGAGTTCCTACAGGTGCCCAAGCCCCCCAGAGAGAGTGTGATCCCCTGACTGGCCTTTGGAGGGCCCCCCAGAGCCCCATGAACTTTAGAGCCCTGCCTGCCATCTCCCTTTTCCAGCCCTGGCCTCTCACCCTCGCAGTTCCACTTGGGCCTCTGCCCGGATCGGCACATTCAGCTGCACAGTCTCGCTGTTTGGATTCTGGCTGTTTTTGCTAGAGGGGAGGGGGTTCAGAGAAGCAGGTCAGTGACACCAGCCCAGTGACTCTCTGGGGTGAGGCCAAAATTTTAGATGGCTCAGGGAGAGCTAATTCCACAAACAGCATGCCACACTGGAGTTAGATCTGGGAAAGAACTTCCTCTAGGTCTCCAAGACTCAGACACAAGTCTCTGAGGAACAAAGGGAACAGGGAGGTCTGAAGACCAGGATCTCAGAAGACCCTTCTGTGCAGAAGGGGCCTGAGGGTCTCTGCATCAAGGTCATGTATGGGATGGGGGTGGGTAGGAGTGCTCCCAGTACCTCCTGATCTGCAGCTGGAAGGACACATAATCTCCAGCCTCTTCCAGGTTCCCCACGCTCACCAACATCGTGATTCCTATCTAGGAGACAGGGAGAGCCAAAGTCACTGCGCACATGCCCACGCTGGGCAGCCCTGCCCTGAAAGTGGCATCTAGTCCGCACCCTCCAAAGTCACCGTTATTATCTCTGTTTTACCTAGAAGCCCATTCAGAGGGGGAAAGTCACTCACCCAAGAGCACGCTGCTGGGGAGCGTGATGACAGGATTCCAGCCCAGAGCTATCTGACTCTCAAACCCAGCCCCTAAAACCTGGCTGTCCACCAGTCCCTGGTGGAGACCCAGCACCCAGGACTCAGTGGCCTCACCCGGGTGTTCTTCTTCATGGGGTTGCCCAGCTCACACAGCACCACCTTGGTCTCATTCTCCTTCTTCTGGTTACAGGTGAGCCTCTCAAAGCCCTTCAGGGAGGCAGTTCCGAGAAAGAAGTTGGTTACAGATCATCCTGTATATACTTAAGCTCCCTTGGAAAGTCTGGAAAAGACTTGTGTGCCAGGGTGCGAGGGAGGGTTTCCTGGGGTGAAATTTCAAGGGACTGTTACGTTCTGTTATATGTATTGCTGTAGCACTTTATTATTTTTTTTATGAATTTTCATTTTGGAAATAAAAAAAACATAAAACATTACATAGGGTATGACTCCATTGATCAAATAAAAAATAAATATAGGCTGGGCATGGTGGCTCACGCCTGTAATCCTAGCACTCTGGGAGGCCCAGGCGGGTGGATCGTTTGAGCTTAGGAGTTTGAGACCAGCCTGAGCAAGAGCGAGACCCCATCTCTTTAAAAAAGAAAGAAAGAAAGAAAGAAAAAATAAATATATACCTATGTGAGTGCCTGTCAATGTTGGGAAAAAAGACTAGAAGGAAATCCATCTAATGTTTATTTTATTTTATTTTATTTTATTTTAGAGACAGAGTCTCACTCTGTTGCCAGAGCTAGAGTACTGTGGCGTCAGCCTAGCTCACAGCAACCTCAAACTCCTGGGCTCAAGCAATCCTCCTGCCTCAGCCTCCCGAGTAGCTGGGACTACAGGCATGCGCCACCATGCCCGGCTAATTTTTTCTATATATATTTTTAGTTGGCCAATTAATTTCTTTCTATTTTTAGTAGAGACAGGGTCTTGTTCCTGTTTCGAACTCCTGACCTTGAGTGATCCTCCCATCTTGGCCTCCCAGGGTGCTAGGATTACATGCGTGAGCCACTGCGCCGGCCATGAAATCCATCCAATGTTAACAGAGGTTCCTGTTAACATTTGGTTCTCGAGCCATTTTGAGGGGTTTTATAATAGGGCTCATGAATTTTGTGCCATTAGCAAGTATTCATCTTCCAAATTAAAAAGAAAACTTACATCTTTTATAGCAAAGCACAAGAGAAGGAAGGGGGAGCTCTCAGGGAGGGAGATGAGAGTCAAGGCTCTGGGCCCCCCAGGTCCCCAGCAATGCTGGCAGGGTGTGGCCTCACCTCCACGTTGCTCAGGGCCTGCATGTAGTGGGCCCCGGCGGGCAGGCGGGTGGCCAGCTCCGCCTCGTAGGCCCCCTCGCCCTTGTTGGCTGCGTCCATCTGCAGCTCGAGCACATTATCTGCCCCAACTAGGAGCGGGGAGCCCGTCCTGTAGGGGGAAAAGGTGAAGCCAGGGAGACTGGGTCCAGGCCCAGGGGCTGGGAGGAGGGGAGGGGACCCAGGTGGGGAGCGGGTATCACTGGGGCAGAGAGGGCCAGGGGAGGGCAGGGTGGGAGGCCTCACACGTTGGCATTGAGCTGAAGCTGGGGCACACACACATTGTCTTCCCCACAGTCCAGGACGATGCGAGTCTAGAGGGGACACAGCAGGGTGTGCAGGTGAGCTGGGAGCATGTGAAGTTGGGGGGTCACATCAGGGTTAGGAAAACAACATTGGGCTTGGGGTTCACATCAGGGTTTAGGGACTAAGAAGATCTGAGGATGAAAGGGAGTTTGGAGATGACGTCAGGGCTTTGGGGTTTATAGAAAGGTTTAGGACAATGTCAGTTTTGTTGGTGATATCAGGGCTTATGGATTTACATCAGAGTTTAGGAGATATTGAGATTTTGCAGTTTTTTTTTTTTTTTTTTTTTTTTTTTGAGACAGAGTCTCACTTTGTTGCCCAGGCTAGAATGAGTGCCATGGCGTCAGCCTAGCTCACAGCAACCTCAAACTCCTGGGCTCAAGCAATCCTGCTGCCTCAGCCTCCCAAGTAGCTGGGACTACAGGCATGCGCCACCATGCCCGGCTAATTTTTTCTATATGTATCAGTTGGCCAATTAATTTCTTTCTATTGATTTTGCAGTTTTCATTAGGGTTTAGAGTGACATCAGATACTAGAGGTGACATCAAGGTTTTGGGGTTCATGTTATGACTTGGGCACTAACCCTAACCCTGACTTTTTATCAGGGGTCCTGCACCTCCTTGCCTGCCCCTGCTTGTCCCTACCTGCTCCTGGACATGAGTGTCTCCATGCAGCACGACAGCAGGGGCTAGTTCAGTCTCCTTGGGGGGCAGGGACACATTGAGGCTGAGCACGATGGGACTTAGCTTGTCCCGGAAGTCTGCCTCATCCTAGGAGGAGAGCAAGAGTCAGGGCATCTTGCTACCATGCACACCCACCTTCTCCTGCCAGTTGGCACCACATTCTACTGACCACCCCTGGATCCTCAGCACCCAACCCAGTGCCCTAGGGCAGATGAGCTCCGCACACTCAGCCCTGCCAACCTCCACCTGCACATACTCGAAGGAAGGCGGTGGTGGTTTGGCAGATGGGGCTGCGCTTTCCTCCCAGGTCCAGGTTCAAGGTGGTGCTCGCCTGTTGAGAGCTCAGGAGGAGCACCCGCCGGCCCTGGCGGGGCTTCTGCCTGTCCAGCTGCAGCTCGGCATTCAGGTCTGGCAGGGCAAGCACAAAGAGTCAGGATCTCCCTGGCCAGCCTCCAGAGGAGCCCAGGCCCACCTCCCTCCTGTGCCCTCCATGCCACTCACGCAGCTTCTGAGGAATGTTGTGCCCAGTGGCTCCCACACACATCTGGATATTGAAGCTGCAAAGACACGAGTGGGGCTCAGGGGCAAGGGCCTTTCTGAGGTCCCAGATCCTGCCTGGCCCATGCCCTCCGCCTCCTCACCAGCTCACTGGTGTCTTTGTCTGGGGCAGGACACAGTTCTTCACAGTAGGATTCAGTGAATCTTGTACCAACAACTGGACAGTGGCTATCACCACTGGCTGAGCTCTGATAGGATGGATGGGAAGAGGCTTGCCATTGTGGCCTGTCCTGGCCCAGCCTCCTCGGATGGTATGGGCCCTTCCCCACCCTGCCCCTGGGGCCAGTGCTCACCTGTACACAGCCACCTTGTTGGCCCCATAAGCTCCCACCAGCAGGTCTATAGACATTGCAGGAGGGGTCAGAATTAGCAAGTAGAGAGGGCATGGGGTCCTCACTGCATCTTCCCAGGGGTTCCCCATACTGCTCTCCTCATTGGAGGTTTGACCTGGCTCCCCCGGCATCCCAGCTGTACAGACGGGCCAGAGCCCATAGCGGGGCACCAGGTCAGGCATGGGCCCCTGGCTGTATCTCTCAGTACTTCCAACAAATGCCCAAGGGCCTTTCTTGGGCATTTCTAGCTGGTGGCAGTCCAGGGTCACCTGGGTATCCGTTGTCATCGATGTCTACAGCACCTCGAAGGGAGAAGCCAAAGCCAGAGCCTGGGGGGAAGGGGCTGTCCAGAACCTGGGAGGGGTGTGAGCTCAGGCCCTCACTCTGACCCAGGAACACCAGTACCTGGCCCCAACCACTGGGACCCCCATAGGGGGCAGCCACTGCAACATCTGGAAGGAGTAACAGAAAGGGAGTGGCCATTTATTATTGAATCTCCCCAGGGGACTTTGTAAAAACTTTCCTGAGCTCCATCTCTGGACAGATCCCAGGAGACCAGGAAAGGGCCCTCCCCTCCAGGAGTTTACAGTCAGGTGGGTGAGAGCCCTGTGAAGTAGAGTTGTTATAAAACAGTAACAGTCCTCACTATTTACTGAGGAAACCATACTGACAAGATTTCATTTAATCCTGAAAATTTGGCATTATTATTCCCATTTTAGATGAAAAAACTGACTCAGAGCCCATGCCATGGGCTCATCATCAATAATAATTTTTAAGATAACCTTTGAAAACTTGTTAATCATCATAATCTTATTATTTTGTAAGAGTTCTTTGCATATGACAAGAATTAAGATCTTTGATATATATGTTCCAACTGTCTTTGTTTTCTGACTTTGCTTATTGTATGTTTTCTGTGCAATTTTTTTATTTTAAATATCTTTATTGATATTTCTGATCAAGTTATACAGAGCTCATCTGAACAGACCATACTCTGACCATGGTCCTATCTGCAGGCCCTGGGCTTCCACTCTCTCCTGATCTTTGGTCTCCTCATCTCTTCATTTATTTCCTGACCATTTGATCACCCTTGCCATCTCCTCAGCCTCCTTGTCCCATTGCCAGTCCTAGGCAAGCCTGGCCAGACTGCACCTTGGACTAGTTCAACCCAGGGTTGCTGGAGAGACAGAACAGATTAGAGTGCCACGAATTCCTGATCTCCAGCCTTCACTAGGAACCTCGACGCTGCCTGCAGGCAGCCTTGCAGGGCCAGCTCCTTCTCCCAGTCTGCTCAACACCTATTTCTCTTTTTAGATATGCCAGCTTGTTAAGTTGCCCAGGCTGGATTTGAACTCCTGGAGCTCAAGTGATCCTCCTGCCTCAGACTCTCTAGTAACTAGCTAGGACTACAGGTGTGTGCCACCGTACCTGGCTCTAGCACCTATTTCCAACCTTCTCCATTTGGTCAATTTCCCAGCCCCCCACTTCCTTCAGTGGGTGACCTCATCTCTTCACAGACCAACTGTTGTGCTGTAAGTCCACACCTACTTTCTTTCCTCTTTCCCCACCTGACCCTGGAATAGGTGTCCCTCCTTTACACTGCCACTGGGCTGAGTGCTCCCCGGCTCCAGGCATCACAGGGACATCCACTGGCTCATCCCCCCATTTCCCATTTTCTTCTTTCACATTTGACCTACTCCATATTCTTTCAAATGGAAATATTTTTCCTTTGACTCTCATCTCCTTTCCGCGATCATCTTTTCTCCTGTTCCTTTCATGAAGGAAAAAGCTTGTGCTCTGCCCGGCTCTCCATGTACAGCGGAGCGCCACCATCAGGTCACACTTCCTGTGGGCCAGATGGGTGGTTGTGTGGGGCTGGGCTATTCAAACCGGTCGAAAGAGCTGTCTACCCTGGCTGCCTCCAATTCTTCACCTCCATTCATACCTTGCTCCATGGTATTCTGATTTCTGTCCCTATCCTGGCCTGAATCAGTTCTTGTCACTGTCACCAATGACCTCCTTCTTGCTAAAGCCCATGGATATTTCTCCAGCCCCATCTAATGGTGCCTTTCAGCAGCAGCAGCAGGAGCCGCTGACTCCCTCTTCCTCCCGCTTGAAGCACTGTCTTCCTTGAGTTCTGGGCCATCAGATCTCCTGGTTTTCCACCTTTCCAGACACTCTTCTGTCATCTTTCCAGACTCACTCCTCTGGGAGTCTCCTAAATGCTCGTGCTCCCCAGGACTATCTCGGGCCTCTTCTCATTTCTCAGGCTCCCAGGACCTCATCTACCCTCCCCAATCCGCTATTTCCTACTCAGACCTCTCTCCTGGAAGGGGAGGAAGCTACACCCAGCTGTCCTCTGGATATTGCCACCTAATACTCCCAAGCCTTTCGAGCTCCCCAGGTCCAGAACTGATCTCCCTCCTCACCAGACCTGCTGCGTGGCCTGAGGGGCAGGCAGTGAAGAGCATCACATCACACCCACCTAACTTCTCTCTCTCCTTTAGCCCTACATCCGGTCTGCCATCAAGTCCTACTAATCTAAGTCCTAAATATCTGTGAAGTCACCCTCATCTCTAACTCTGCTACCAAAATCCACATCCAGGTGTTCACCATCTCTCGCCTGGATTAAGGCAGACACATCCTAACAGGTCACCTTTAGCTCATCTGTCTGCTCTCCATTCAGCGGTCCCCATGTGTAAACCACATTTATGATGGAGTCACTCCCTGCTTAAAGCCCATCCTTTCTCCAGTTGCCCTAAGGTCAAGTCCATGCTTTTCGTTGTGGCTGTTAACCCCTCTGCAGCAAGCTGGGTTCCTCTCTTCCCTCACCATTGTAGCCATCCCGGTTGAGGTCGCCCAGAGGCGCAATGGCAGAGCCAAATCGCCCATAGAGCTGTGTGCCGGTCAGCAGGAGGCTGGGGGAGCCCAGGGCGTGGGGACTTCTGGGCTGCAGGAACAAGTACACACGCCCCACTTCGGCCAGCTTGCGGTCTGCCCGGCTCTCCATGTACAGTGGGGCACCCACTAGCAGGTCGTGCCTCCTGTGGGCCAGATGGGTGGTTACTCGGGGCTGGGCTAGGGGGATGTTGGGGCTAGGGCTAAATCTCACCCACCTTTGCTCTCCCGCTCCCTTGGGTGGACCCGTGAGGATGGGGGCTAGGAAAGTAAGAGACTGAGGGCAGCTCCTGCCTCTGGTAATTGGGGACCCAATTGGGTAGGGGTGGAGAGTGTCCCTCCTCACCCATCCCCGTTGACGTCAGTGACGGCTACTGAGTGCCCGAAATACGAAGCCATCTGCAAGAAGATGAGAAGCATCTTAATTCACGGCACCTGACCCTGCACCCTCTCTTAGATATTGGCCCTCAGATCCCGCGAAATATTCTGGGGTCTCAGTTGCCCGGCTTTGGCCACTGCCGTCGAGACCCGGCCCCTACCTGCTCTCCGTGCAGCCGGTGCAGCGTTCGGAAGTATGAGTCCAAAATTTCCACCTGCACAGACAGCGCACCGGCGCACATCATTCTTGTTCCCTACCGCAGCCTCCCGCCCCAGTGGAGAAAGGACAAGAGGTTTGGGGGAAGCAGGGGTTGTCACCCTGAGGACTGGGGTTGGGGGCTTCGGGATGCTGCGCCGCAGGGCGGGGGGCACTCACCGCTCCCAGGGTCCAGCTCCAAGTAGGGGCACCGAAGACATACTCTGGGGAGAGCCATAGAACCTTGTCCCTCCCGCTCCCCATTGCCCGCCCAGGGGAAACTTTGGTTCAGGGGAGATTTCCGTACCCAGGGGAGATTTCAGGGAGGTGCTCCTCCCGTACTGGGCTTCCCAACCCCCGCCCCTAAGGGAATTTCTTGCCTGTAGTTCTGAGATCCCCGTCGAATTCGCCCACGGCCACTGAGTACCCTGAGGACACAGCGCTAATTAGTCTTTAAAAGAGAGCTAGACAGGAGCAGACGAGGACAAGGAGCCAGGGAACTGAAAAGTCATCCAGCCCAAACCCTGCATTGTGCAGATGGGAAAACTGAGGCCATCAAGACGCCAAGACCTGCCCAAGGACTGCACTGCGAGTCCACGGCGGGAAGGGAGAGGTGGGGTGCATGGGAGTTGGGCAGTCTGCGGGGGAGCCACAGGAGCAGAGGGAGGAAGACGCCGTAGGCACTGGGGCTGGCCAGCCAGGGTTGTCACGGAGGCTCCCTCAGGGGCAGGACCTGACCGGCTGCGGTGGGTGGGGCCCCTTGGGGTGTTGGGAAGCCTGGAAGGGAGATGCCAGGGTTACCCCGGTAGCCGTCGAACCACTCTGGGCTGCTGGAGTCCAAGGTGAAGCTCTGGGTGGGCACGTTCCACAAAAGGGTGCCCGGGCGGTAACTCGAGATGATATTGGCAATTGGAGCCCGGGCCAGGAGACCTAGGGCGCGAGGGACAGGGGTTGTGGGGGTCCAGACGCCTGGGGTCTTCCCAGGCAGCGAAAAGGCAAGGAGGTGTACGGATAGGCGCGTACCTACGAAAAAGTAGCCGCCAGGAGCCCCAAGCACCAGTTCTCCAGCCTGAAAGGGAAGCCCTGAAGGTGAGAGGGGACCCTGTTCAGGGGCTGCCCCCGCGCCGCTTTTGCTCCCTACTTGCCTGGGTGACCACTGAGCTGAAGCCGGCTTCGCAGTAGCGCTTGTCCCGGTCTAGAGGAGGCAAGGAGGAGGGGTCGGCGAAGGGTCGGACCAAGCAGAGTGCACTGAAGGTTGGAGCAGGGTACCCGCGGAATCAAATAGGGGCGCGGCCATGGGGTATCATATAGAGGCGTGGCCTTGAATCGGCGGGGGCGCGGCGCGGCGGGGCCAGAACCTGGGCCTTTGGGTGGCCACATCCAATGTACGGTCAGGGGCATCGGGGGAGGGCGGAGCTAGGCGGTTGCGAGAGGGCGGGGCCAAAACGTAGGGCGGAGCTTACCATAATGAGTTTTTGCGTAAACGCCGCTCATGGTGTTCGCTCGGCAGGGGGAGTACTCCGCGCGGCCGCCGTTTTGGAGCTGAGCCAAGAAGCAGCCACCAACAGGCGTCTTCTCAGCCTCCTCGGTCTTTTCTAGGGCGTTCCAGTGCTGCCAGGGGGCGCAAGCCTGGAGCAGGGCCACAGGAGAGTGGGGAAGGGCGCGAGACTTGGGCTTTCCCCCATGTTCCTGCCCCCAACTGTTCCCTGTGCCCTGTACCGCGGGGGCCCACCACAATGATGTCGCGCCAGCTGACGACCGACGCTCCCAGCCCTTGCCGGATCTTGAATGTTTGCAAAATTTGGGAGCCTACGTTTCGGGTCTCATCACCTGGAGGGAACAATAAGGGGTCGGGTCGCTGAAGCCGCTGCCCTAGTCCCTCTGGTCCCCTCCCTTTCTCTCTTTGACTGGGACTCACTGAGGTCGAAGAGCAGTGAGGTGCACTGGCCGCCCTCGGCCCTCCAGGGACACAGGAACACGCCACCCGTCTCCTCTTGGCTGGGGCTCAGGGCCCGCGGGGCGCCCACCACGATGGACACACTGAATAGGAAAGCTGGGTGAGCAGGGCGCAGACTCCGGCTATCGCAGGCCCCACTGTCCAGAAGGCGGTGTGGTATGGGGAGGAGCACTGGACCATCTCTCCTCAATGAAACCTCACAAATTCTCTTCGTTTTATAGTCAGTGAAACTGACTGTCAGCGAGAGAAATCACGTGTTTGAAGTAATCCAATGAATGGAAAGTAAAGTTGGGACTGCAACCATTTGGTTTGATTTGAACATAAGGGGTTTGATATCTTTGCTGAAAAAGACCTCTTAAACTCTGTACCCCATCTCCACCCTTCCACTTCCAGCAAAAACCAGGGATTCACCTGCTCGCTAGAACGCCTGTCTTGACTGTTACCAGACCCCTTCTTGAGAGCTGGTTTTAATGGTGAGGATTGAGGGAAGCTAGAGGGTACCTCGAAAATGGGAGGCGGGGTGCAGACAGAACCGAGGATCCTAGCAGATCTAGTTTTCTAAAAACTTATTTTTATTTTTAAAATTTTTTGTAGAGATGGGTCTCACTATGTTTCCCAGGTTGATCTCCAGTTCCTAGCCTCAAGCAATCCTCCCCTGTCTCCTAGGACTTCTAAAGTGCTGGGATTACAGGGGTGAGCCATAGTGCTGGGCCAGATCTAGGTTTAAATCATAGTTCAGATGTATGTACATTAGGAATAATAAATACCAACTAATCTATGCTGTCAGAAGGAGGATTAAATGTAATAAACGTATGAGTGACAGCATGGTCCCAGTCATCATGCTTTTGAAAAAATGCTATAATTTTTTTAGCATGCAGGATGTTTAAGTAGTGCCCATGGCACTTTCTGGTAGAAAGGAGGGGGAGAAGTAGGAGTGGGCAGTGGAAGGAGCCAAGCTGAGATTCAGGGCCAATAACAGCATGGCCAATGCCTGGGAGCTCTACAGCTAGAAGGATCCTTCAGAATTGTCCAGAGTTGACCCAGAGGCCGGGCGCAGTGGCTCACGCCTGTAATCCTAGCTCTTGGGAGGCCGAGGCGGGCGGATTGCTCAAGGTCAGGAGTTCAAAACCAGCCTGAGCAAGAGCGAGACCCCATCTCTACTATAAATAGAAAGAAATTAATTGGCCAACTGATATATATATAAAAAATTAGCCGGGCATGGTGGCTCATGCCTGTAGTCCCAGCTACTCGGGAGGCTGAGGCAGAAGGATGGCTCGAGCCCAGGAGATTGAGGTTGCTGTGAGCTAGGCTGACGCCATGGCACTCACTCTAGCCTGGACAACAAAGCGAGACTCTGTCAAAAAAAAAAAAAAAAAAAAAAGAGTTGACCCAGGAGGGCTGGACCTTTAACTCCCTTCTCATTGATCAGTCATTGGATGTGGGCCACAGTGGGAAGGGGACTTCATTTTGGGTGAAGTGGCTCTCTTCAGCAGAGGAAGTACCCCAATTAGCTGAAGGCTTGAAGGCTACCTGCCATTGCTACACCCCAAAGGCAGGCTGCGCAGTGTCCACCACAATTAAGTACCTCAGGCATGCTCTGGTTTCTCTTCAAAATAAACAAATCATTTGCCTTTTACTAAAGATTTCTGTGGAGAGGAACATTAAAAAAAAAAAAAGAGTAGCTCAGGGTATACAGCTATGAGGAGCCAGGACTGATCAATACTAACCATTAATGATCTATTGCTTTTCAAATATCTATAATTTTGATAGGGATGAAGGGAATGGATTAGAAAAGCAGGATGGGGTGTTAGACAATTTTACAGTTTTGCAAATCAATTACAGAACATGGGCTCCTCTCCGTTTTTTGAGGTGTTGAGGGTGGAATGGGTCATACAGCTAACCCTTTGGGGGGAAAAAGACATCAACTTTTGTCTTTCCTTTGTTCTTGCTGTAGTTTCAGTGCCCATCTCCCCCTTGGTGCTCCTCCCTGACCCCTTCACCTGAACTGGTCCCTCCCCAGCATTCCTGATAAGAGCTCAACCTGAACAGACCCCAGAAACCACTTTGCTCAACCGCTATCACAAATGGGGAATTTGAGGCCCACAGAAAGTGATGGGGAGGGGTCCTTCTCTCTCTCAACACCCAAACTTCCCCCAGGGCTCACCTCCCATGGCTGTCCTTGTGGAAGTCCAATGAAAACCCAAAGTGGCTGGCATTGGGGCCTGTATAGAAGGTGAGCTGCACTGGATCCAGGTTCAAGGCCCAGGCAGGAGGGGCAGCACCAGGTCCTGAGAGCAGCAGCGCCCACTCCAGAAGCCAGAGGGCATGTAGTAGACACAAAGCTCTGGCCATCCTCCTTCTCCTGAAAGCTCCTAGGCAGTAATGGACCAGATCCTTCCTCTTCCCTTCAGTTTCCACTACAGGAAGTCTTTTTTTTTTTTTTTTTTTTATCAAGCTGGAACCCAAAGTAACTTGCTGAGCAGTGGGCAAAGGGCTATAGCCCCTGGACCCATATGGTCTCTAGGATTAAGAAAAAGGGGATGAGGCCACCCTGGGGGGTGGATGCTTATGGCTGAAAGCCATGACTCCTCCCTTTTCCTGAGAGCAGTTTATAACCAAGTCCTGTTGGCTCTGCCTCAGCTATGTCTCTTGAATCTTAACCCCAGCTATACTACCACCATGCTAGTCTGACCTACCATCACTTTCTGCTTGGGATGGTGGAGCTGTGAACTAACAGGTCCATACAGCTCTACTCTAGGCCACGTTCTCCTCCCTTCCTTCATCCAGCTGGCTGCACTGCTGTGGCACTTTGTGACTTGGCCAGAGGTGGGGGAAGGAAGCTGCTGCTGCTGCCCCCTGATATGACCTGAGGCTGCTGTATCTTTCTGGAGAAGCCATTTATCCACTTCCTCCTTCTATGGCCTTGGGCAGCCTCAGCCAGCCATATTAGCGCAGCAGCATTCTGAAGTCTCAGTGTTTTCGCACCAGTGGAGCCAGTGTGAGGGACTTGGTGGTGAATGGATTTTGGCCAAAGGGGCAAGGAGATGGGGATAAAGTGGAGTCATTCCAGGGTATTTTGGCTCATAGGCTCTGAGATTATCTATTAGCTGCTTAAAGGCAGGCTCTCACTCCTTTTGGGGTGATGGAGTTCTTGTCCAACCACCAAGACTTGATTCTGGTGGTATTTTGCTTAGGAGAAGCCTCCCGACTCCTCAGGCTGGCCTCCTGAGCTAACACACAAGGGCACGGCACTGATTCTCTGTTTAGTCACAGTCTGTTCACAAGATTGTGTGAATGGGCTCCTTTCTGCAGCCCCAAAGCCTAGCCAAGAGTCCAACATGCAGTAGGTCAAGACCTGACTGAATGGAAGCACACACTAAGGATGGAAGATGCAAACATACAGTGACAGTGGGAAGAAATGTTTTGAGCAGAAAGGCAAGGTCATTTTCTTTTTTTTTCTTACGTAGAGACAGGGTCTCCACTCTGCTGTCCAGGCTGGAGTGCAGTGTGCATGACTACGCCCAGCTAATTTTTAAATTTTTTTGTAGAGAGGTCTATGTTGCTCAGGCTGGTCTCAAACTCCTGGCCTTAGGCAATCCTCTTGCGTGGGCCTCCCAATGCACTAGGATTATAGGTATGAGCTACTGCACCCAGCTGGCAAAGTAATTTTCTATGGAGTGCCAAGACTTACTGGCACTTATGCCTTCCCAAGAAAGCAGGTTCTCAGGAAGGAGAGTCAAGAGGTCTGCTAGGGGTAAAGGAACATAGCCACATCCTCCTTTTAATTTCTATTTTCTGATCACACTTAACCATAGCCTTATCCTGCTCAACCACTTTGTGCCATTCTGAGTACCCTCAGCTCCTCCCTTCCCCCTCATACTTTACCACTTCAGCACATAGTCAAGAATCCAATTCTTTACTAGGCTTGAAGCTCCCTGAATTTTAGTATGGGCTTTTTTTCTTCTCTTGGTGACAGAGTCTCACTCTGTCGCTCCAGCTAGTGTGCTGTGGCGTCAGCACAGCTCACTGCAACCTCAAACTCCTGGGCTTAAGCCATCCTCCCATCTCAGCCTCCCAAGTAGTAGCTGGGATTACAGGCACACACCGCCATGCCTGGTTAATTTTTCTATTTTTTGTAGAAAAGAGGTCTCATTCTTGCTCAGGTTGGTCTCAAACTCCTAGCTTAAGCGATCCTGCCACCTTGGACTCCGAAAGTGCTAGAATTACAGGCATGAGCCACTGCACACGACTTAGTCTGGGCTTTCTTCACTGCTGAATTCCCAGTGCCAAGTTCATGGGAGGCACATAATTTGTGAGGATGAATACTTAACTCAGTCTTCTACTTACCCTCCATCCTCCCATTGTCCTCAACTGAGTGATTACTGTATTACTGGTGTATTCTGTAAACTCACATTTCACTCAAGGTTTCAATAAGTACTTACTCTGTTTGAGGCATGGTAAAGGATACAAAGGTAACCAGCAAGGATCCTTAACAAACTTAGTCCAGAGGAAGTTAAGACATAAACAATATAACTGCAGCAGAGTGATAGTGAAGCATGCCTTGAAAAAGATACAATGAAAGTCATTTATATCATTGCTCTTAACAACCCTATGAAATAGGTACAATCAATTTTATAACAGCAAAAAATGTGGCACAAGAGAATTTTAGGTAAATTGCCCAAGTTTATACAGCCAATAGATGGCAAAACTAGGATTCAAACACAAGTTGCAGTTGAAGTTACCTTTTGTCAGAGAATGGAGTTTTTAGGCATGCGGAATAACATAAGCAGAGAGAACAGCAAAAGAACAGAGGTGCATTATAGGGAATGGCAAGTAGTTGTCTCACTATAGAGTGCTTAAAGGGGTAGACTGAGGCATGAGGGTGAAAAGGAAGTCTGAGACCAAGTAACTGGAGGTCCTTGAATGCCATATTAAGGAATTTGAACTTTAATTTGTAGGAGACAGAAAATCATAAAGACTTTTACAGAATCAGTAATTGGATGTGTCAAAGGTAACTCAAAGCTTTGGTGCCTGCCTGGCTGGTAGAGGAGTGGTACCATTAACTAAAACTAAAAGCACAGGTGGAGGGAGGTTCAGATTTGAGAAAGGAGAGGAGTTAGGTATTCAATATGGATTGTGTTCCTTTGGTGTCAGAGCTGGGTTGATCTCCCTTCTAGACAGAGGGCAGAGGAATGCTGACATATCGTTCTCATTTTCCTATCCCATCAACCAGAGTGCTAGAATCCCTCAATGAACTTATAGTTCTGTTAAGCCTTCATTTGGTCAGTTTTTTTTGTTTTGTTTTTTTTGAGACAGGATGTCACTCTGTTGCCCAGGCTGGAGTGCAGCAGTACCATCATAGCTCACTGCAACCTCAAACTCATGGGCTTAAGTGATTCTCCTGCCTCAGCCTCCTGAGTAGCTGGGATTTCAGGAATGTGCCACCATGCCTGGCAAATTTTTTATGGAGACAAGGTCTCATCATGTTGCTCAGGATGGGCTCAAACTCCTGGCCTCAAGTGACTCTCCTGCCCCAGCCTCCCAAAGTGTTAGAATTACAGGCATGAGCCACCACGCCCAGCCAGGTTAACAATTACTGAACTTCTACTGTATGCCTGGCACTGAGCTAGGTGATGTAGAGGTTAGAGAGAAAAAAAAAATTAATCATTTTTGAGTATTTCCTTGGTAAATCTTGATGTATAATCCTCTGCTAATGGTTTTTTTTTTTTTTTTTGACAGTCTCACTCTGTTGACCGGGCTAGAGTGAGTGCCATGGCGTCAGCATAGCTCACAGCAACCTCAAACTCCTGGGCTCAAGCAATCCTTCTGCCTCAGCTTCCCAAGTAGCTGGGACTACAGGCATGCGCCACCATGCCCGGCTCATTTTTTTTCTATATATATTAGTTGGTCAATTAATTTTTCTATTTCTAGTAGAGACGGGGTCTCACTCTTGCTCAGGCTGGTTTCGAACTCCTGACCTGGAGCAATCCGCCCGCCTCGGCCTCCCAGAGTGCTAGGATTACAGGTTTGAGCCCCTGTGCCTGGCCCTGCTAATGGTTTTACTTTGCTCATATTTTTCTTGAACATATAATCAAAATGTTTACTATGTATTCAACTCTATGTAAGACACCCAAAAGGGAGGAAAGAAGAAGTATAAGAATCAGTCCCTGTCCTCTTGAGAGGTCACAATGTTACTGGAATTGCACTTAGATTCTGAAACACCAGTAAGTTTACATGGGACAGAGAATTAGATCCTAGAGTCAGAGAGGCCAGCCAAGAAAATGCTGCAATAATTCAGACATGAGTTGATGAGGGTAAGCCGAAGTTATCTCTGGCAAAGAAGAATGGAAATGGTTGACAAGGCCTGATTAGTCATCAAAGGTGTAGAGAGAGTACTTCCATGTTTCCAGCTAGGTGGCTGAGGCCTTGTCAGAACAAGGCAGCCACACATAACTTTACATAACATATTCTATATAGGCCAGTCTGCCTGTTTCACTTGTCATCTTCCCTGCTCTCAGAAAATCACTTTATTTTCTAACACCCTTTCTTTAGGGGCAAGGATCTTTGCTATTTTAGACAGGCAGATCTGAGAACCCAGCCTTTGGTTCAAGTTGAAGAGCTTCTCTTTAATTGAGGAGAGAACACAGCTGTATCAAAGGGAGTAGAAAAGAAACAGACACTGCAAAAGGGGAAATTAACCACAACAAATCTATGCTAGCTTTCCACACTAAATGTTCCCTGCCTCTTTTGTGTGTGTGTGTGTGTGTGTTTTGACATAGAAGACCAGGTAGGGGCTTTTAGCTTCTCAGTAACAATTAGAGCATGTTTCCTTATACCAGGTATAGGTGCTCAAACATCATAGTAATATTAAAGGGCTGAGGACAGTAATTCAAGCCTGGTATACAGAACTCCACCTGGAGGGAAAAGGCCAGGCAGATGACTCTGGATTACTCTTGTAATCCCATTGTCCACAATCCTAAAATCCAAAGCCATAAATTCCATATCCATTTAGTGAGCACCTACATGCCATGTATTCTATTATATACAAATTATTTATCTAAAATGGAAAAAAAGGAAAAAGAATATTCTTGTGGGAAAGATGGAGTGGAAAGGAGGTATATATACATTCTAAGACATCTACCTAAGACTGAGAGAAACTTAACTATTACTTCCTCCCACAACCATAATTCTTTCCTCTCTCCTTGGGCAGCCTGAGCCTTCAGAAGCACAATTCCAAATACCTCAAACTGGTTCACAGAAATTTATTCCTTGACTGCTTCAAATAAGATATTATTTATAACCCTTCCCAACTTGAGTAGACGGGGCAACAATCATGACAAACTCTGCTAAGTTTCCACAAATCATTGGTTTATTAGAAAGTTTCTTTCCCTCATTTTACAGCATATATATCTATATCATATGTGATAAAGTTAAATACAATCTGTTATGCTTGTAAGTAAGGATAGGTTATTTTGTTTTTCCTTTTTCTTTTTTTTAAGTTTTAAAATCACTATTCTGGAAGTTAAAGAAACTGCCCCCAGGAAGGCAGAGAGGTGGCCAGAGTATGGCTCAATCTACAAGCTAATGGGAAGCAGCACAAAAATGTTAATACTGCATTATTTAAATATTTACATGGGCTGAAAGCAAAGAAAAATGAGTTCCTTCACTTCAAACAGATGGTTTCATTTTCCCAGTGCTAGTTAGCCAAAAAATGATGTTTCTAAATCAGAAAAAGAGCACTGAACAGGTAGGAGGGGGGCTCAGTCAAGAGCCTGTTTGCCCAACACTTGCTTCTCATAAACTCAAAATCTTTCTCTTTTGGGAATTTGAGAAGAAAGGCCAGAAACACAGAGTGTTGGCCCACGTAAGTATGGTTTGCTTTTCCTGTCAAGTGACCACATAACCAATTCTAGACACAGGAGTAGGTAGAAAAATGCCAAAAAGGGAACTGCTAACTATACCAAAGGAGATGAGACCTGCAATACAAGCACCTTTGGGTCAGTGTGTTAATTACGGCTGAGAGTCTGGGTGAAAGGCAAGAAGAGGGGAAAAGAGGCTGAGGTGGTAATTCCTCTGGTCAGCGTCATTGGAGAAAAGAAAAAAAGAACCTCTACTGCTTAAACTGAGCCGGGCAGAAGGCATGGAAACTATGAAGCAAAAGAACTTAAAGTTATCTATGAATGTGCTCACCTCCCAACAAAAGGAGGGAAAAACTATCCCCACTCTATCATCCTCCAGTCTACTTCTATTTCACTTTCTAGCCAACCCAAAAGGCACATTTAAAAAAGAAAAAAAATGTCAGAGAGGGCTAAGTACTAGGAAGGCAAATAGACTGCCTGGAACAAGGTACCCAGGGAAACCCAGGAATCTCCCCAGACAACCACTCAATCTCACTGCTTCCAGAGAGTAAAGCTGTTGAATCTCCCCCTCCTCCTCTGTGGGGTCCACCTGTTTCTCTGTATAAAAAGAAAGTACATGAAGGAGATTCAGAACTGACTATCCATCTAACACCCCCAGCTGACTGCTGCCCATTAGCTCAGAAATCCCAGTGCTGGGGGTACCACTTACTGCAAATTACTTAACATTGTGTCCCAGCAAAAAATGTTTTTTAACATTTTATAGTTAACTTCAAAAAATACATGAGCTTGATAAAATATACATGCTTAGTCATTTTTGCATCTAGCAGAAAACAAATACTTTATTGTTTTCATTTTATAACCTTTAAAGTTTCTTAATTCAACTAGGTCAAACATATTTACACAAAGCCACCAGAACAAGGATCACTTAAAGAGCTGGATGTAAAAAATATTATTGCAGTATACTACAAATATGGAACCTTTTTTATATGAGCTACAAAAAGCAGCATTTATGTTTATAGAGTTCAGTGCAATTTTTTACATTAAAAAATCCTATAAATTAAGAAGAAACCATCAACACGACAGAAGAAAATACACCCTTCAGACACATGAGCTCCTCTCTGGGGAAGCACATGGGTGACTCTATGTTTCGCATAGCTTCTATTCATGATAAGATCTTCTTTTCTGGGATATGCAGATGCCTCTTCTAGGATAAGGGACACCAGGATAACAGTGCCAAATATGTGGCTCTGTTTATGTGGGAAGTGGATTGAATTGCAGCCTGAGTTGCATCTGGTTATAGGTCAGACTCCCTTTTCACCTCACCTGTGATAACATAAGGTAACCAAGGGATGGTCAAAGATACTGCCCAAAAGTAGTAGTGCTTTCACCATCAGAGGAACAGCTTGGTCTTCCTTGTGGCACTGAGAAGGCAGGACCAGAAGGGCCCAGGGCAAGTGCTTTGGTGACAACACGCAGCCAGAGAGGAGGAAAATGTTCTAAAATTTATAGGGGAAGAGCAGAGGATACAAAGTAGAGGGAGTGGGGGGACTATCTAAACTTGACAGTTTGGAGATGTTGCTGCAGATGGGTGGGTAGCACTTACTGGTGTTCCTTAGCTTGGAAACACAGGAGAGGAGGGAAAAATAGAAAGGAGGAAAGGAAAAAAATCCCTGATAGTAAACTCAAAGCAAACTTCAAATCTAAACCCACCCCTGCAAGCCAAAACTCTATTCTTTGGCTGTCAGACACTGCCCATTCCAGCTTCTACTTGCTGGTATTAATGGCTCAATACCCCCAAGGGAAGATTTATGGGTTTCCCTTCCTGGCCCTATCTAAGATCCCATCCCCCAACTATGTGCCATGGCTAGGGGGGTGCTGCAGGTCCTGACCTGAGAAGATGGGGTGAAGTAACGGGTGAAGGTGGAGGGCAGTGGCAGCTGCTGCAGCAGGCCGTGGGGCCAGTAGGGTAGGGTAGAGGGCAGCATGTGGGACAGGGTGGAAGGTGAAGGGCCCAGGATGGATGGCTGATGCAGGAATGATGTGGATAGGATGGCTAGCGAGAAAGGTGGCAGGGTGGCCAGGGATGATTGAGTGAGTGAGGTGGGACAAGGAAATGGGGGTCAGATGGGGCTGGGGAATATGGTGTACCTGGGCAAGTGGTTGGGGATGAGGGTGGGGGTGAATGCCAATAGCAGCAGCAGCTGCTGCAGCATGATGTTGTAAGATGGCATGCTGAACAGTTGTGATGGAGGTGGCAGAGGCTGTGGCTGGCTGCTGAATGTGGATGGGCTGCAGGGCTGGTGTGGCTGGGGCCAGGGCAGCTGAGGCTGGAAAGGCCTTTACTTGCTTGGCTAGAAGCTGCTGCTGGATGTGTTGCTGAGCAGCCTGCTGGAGCTTGCTGTACTTCTCCATCTCCTCAGGAGTGAAGGTGATGGGCTGGCTCTCCAGGGGGGCCAGTGAAGCATCCTCGGCCCCATCTGTTGACTCAATACTAGGTTCCCCACTGGGAGGTGCGTAACTGGGGAAGTGCTCAAGGTCTGGTGCTATAGGCAGCAAGGTGGATTCCACAGGGCCTGGCTGACTGCCACTATCCAGGGATTCTAGGGTGTCCCCATCACTGGGGTCAGGGAGGTAGTTATGGGAGATGGTTGGGTCCCCAGGGTAGCAGTCAGAGTGTGCTGGCGTGCCTAGTGGAGCCACAGGGTGATCAGCAGTAGCTTCTTCAGACTTTGGCTCTTCTGGGGGTGGGTCTGATAAGGGGCCAGCTGTTTCCTCTGAGGGGAACTGATGCCCAAATGGGGCATCACTACTCCCTGGGGGGCCCTCTTCCGTCTCTGACTGCTCTTGCTCTTCCCCCCTTTCCAAGCCAGACTCTTCACATTTCTTGTTGGGCTTTCGGGTAGCTGGGAGCTTCCCTATCAGCGGAAGGACAGGCTTATTGCCAAGACAGGGGGGGAGCTTGGGCCCAAAGTAACCTTGAGGGGGGTCCTTGAGCTTGAGCCCAGCTTTACTAGGGGTGGCCTGCACCTCCTCACTCACACTGGATTTCCTCTCCACTTTCCTTGACTGGATCTTCTCCAACAGCAGTTTGGCAGTGACAGAATTCTTGTCTTCAGGGCTGTAGTCACTTTCTGACCCCCTTCCTGTGCCAATGTTGCTGTTTTGGGAGGGTGGTCCTGTCCCTTTACTGTCATCTCCTCTGCCATCATCTTTCTTCCCAGGACCTTCTCCTCGGCCTGATCGGAAATAGTGGGGGGACTGGGAACGGTAGATCTTAGAACGAATGAAGTCTCGATGCCCAGAACGCCTCTCCTCAGGGCTTTCGTGACCCCAAGATCCCTTCCTGGAGCCTGATCTCTGGGAAGGGCTCCTGGTGCTGCGGCTGCGGTCTCGGCTATAGCTCCGGCTCCGTTGCCAGCTGTGGGCTGTGGTGCTACGGCTTCTCCGCTTGCTCCGACTGCGACTACAACTGCTGCTGCGGCTGCGTCCCCGAGATCTTGAGCGTTCTCTGGTATGACTCCGAGATCGGCTTCGGGACTGGCTGCAACTGAGGCTATAATCATCATCAGAAGATGAGTATTTGTGCCGTTTGGATCGGTGCTTGGAGCTGGCATAGTCTGAGTCATCTGAGTCGTGGGAGCGCTTGGAGTGCCTTCGTGATCGATCACTATAATCACTGTAGCTGTCATCAGAGTAGCTGTGCTGCCTACTATAGCAGCTCTGGTCTGAAGAAGCATCTGAACTACTTGAGTAAGAATGCCGGGAGGAACGATGTGAGGAATGGCGCCGGCCAGACCGTGAGCGGCTACGGGAATGCTCGCTGCCTGAGTCTTCCTCCTCTTCCTCTTCACTGTACTGGGATGGAGATTTCTGGTGCAACCGGCGTGACGAAGCATCATCGCTATCCTCATCTCCACTACTGGGTCGGCTTCGATGGCTAGACCGGCTGCTCCGTTTGGTGCCAGCTCTTCGCTGGCAGGATGAAGTTGGAAGTTCACCTTTGTGTTTCCTCCCACCATGATCTTGGGAGCTGCTGCCACCCCCACCTTCATCCTTCTTGCCACTGTTTCCTTCTTCAGCTGGGAGGGATCGCTGCTGGGAGTCATCTTGAGCTCGCCGCCGTCTTCTTGGTGGTGCAGGACTGCCACTCCCAGGAGGTTCTGGTTTCGGTCCTCGTTCAGAATCTGCTGGGGCTGATGACTTATTCTTCTTTCGTTTTCGTTTCTTGCGCTTCTTAGACTTCTCCCCAGACTCTGCCTTAGAGCTTTTCTCTTCTGGGTCAGCCTTGTGTTTACGTTTGTGTTTGCTGGATTTTTTGTGCTTCTTTTTCTTTTTGTGTCGATGGGACTTCCCAGATCGTTCTTTCTTGCTAGGAAGGCTTCTCCCTGTGTCTTCTGTCTCTGACCCATGGCTGCCCCCAGGTTCCTGCTTGTTTAGGCCACTACAGGCAGATCCTGAAGCAGGTGCATCCATTTTGCCTCCTGAGGAATGTACAACTTTCTCTCCCCCTTCCTTGTTTTTAATTGACTCACCAGAATCTAGGCCTTGGAAATGGTCCTTTGAGGAGCTTCCTATATCCTTTGGTTTTTCTGTCCCTTTACCTCTGGCATCTTTGTTCCTTGAAAGTTTAAAGTCAAAGTATAGAGGGTTACAACTGTATGAAATGGAGGGTTCTGCCTTGGTGAAAATTAATAGTTCAGATGGCCACTGGAGGGCAGTGCTTTCATCTTTGCTCAAAACTGGGAAGAAGGGACCAGTAGGATGTTTGGGTCCCTCCTGGCTTTCTTTCCCTGTTGGGATGGCTGGAGAGGTTTCTTTAGAAGGATTAGACTCACACATTTGGACTTCTGAAGGCTTCTGGCTTTGAACCTCTAAATTCTCATCACTTACATCCCCTCCTATCGCCTTCTTTGCCTCAGCTTTGCTTCCAGGCTCTGAGGACTCGGTCATACTGGTTTCCTTCTGCTGCTCGGAGACTTCACTAACTGTCTTTTCTGCTCCCTGGCTTGCTGCCATCTTGATGCAGCCTTTAGGCTTTGGAGAACTGCCTTTTCTGCTCTCTGGGGCATTCTTTGGATGTGTGCTATTGTCACTTTCCATTTGTTCACTGGCTCTCATAAAGAGCAGGAAGGGAAAATTAGGTTTTACTTTGCAGTGTGCTGGGGGGATATAGTGGTAATACTCTGGCTCTGTAGCCCCAGCACCTTCTTCTCGCTTCATCCTTTTTAACTTGGATAATGTTGAGGCAAGGGACCCTCCATCCTGAGTGTCTTCATCCTCTTTTTTACCATCAAGATTACTGCTACCATCAGAGTCTCCCACCTTTTGCAGTCCTTGTTCAGAACCCTTCTCATCAGATTTTGTTCCATCTTCAGAGGGCCCTTCCTCTGCATGGTCCTTGAAAACTGATGCTATTGATTCAAGTTTGACAGGAGCCTTCTTGGCAAAGGAAAATGATACTCCCAATTTTTGCAGTGGGGTCCCCAGATTATTCTTAATGCCAAAGCTGATGCCTTGGGAGCCTAACCCAGGAGCCTGTGTCAGTCCAGTGGTATTAGTGATTTGTACTGCAGTGAAAGGGCCTCCTTTATCTGTGGAGAATTCAGATCCCAGGCCACAAGTAGCACCTGTGCCACTATTTGTAGCTGATTCATCCTTATCATCTTCTCCACCTTCTTCATCTATAGCCACTGTGGTTGGTCTAAACATGGGGCCACTTCCAGGTGCACTACACAAAGGTTTAGAAAAATAAAAAACAAAAAACAAGTTTAAGAGTACATTACATACATCTCATCAAATACTCATTCATCTTAGGTAGGTCTCAAAGACACTGAGTGGTGGTCATTTCTTAGCCCTACACTAATGAATGGAACTTTCTCAGGGGAGGGTAATCAAAATCTCACTCTGTCAATCTACCAAGCTAAATTCCCAGTGCAGCCAGTTACTGCTATTTCTTTTTAAGCTGTCTAAAATACAAAAAAGGCTTATCTCACAATTCAAATATCCCATCATTACTATATGGTACAGTCTACTATTACCTGTTTCTGATCTCATTTCTTTTTTTATTTTTTGAGATACGGTTGCTCTGTTGCCCCAGCTAGAGTACAGTGGCATCATAGCAACCTCTAAGTCCTGGGCTCAAGTGATCCTCCTGCCTCAGCCTCCTGAATAGATGGGATTACAGGTGCAAGCCCCTGCATCTGGCTTATTTTTCTATTGTTAGTAGAGATGGGGTCTCAAACTCGTGACCTCAAGCTATCCTCCCACCTTGGCTTCGCAGAGTACTAGGATTACAGACATGAGCGACCGTGCCCGGCCCATCATTCCTTTTATTTTTTCCTTTGAGATAGGGTCTCACTCTGTTGCCCATGGCAGAATGCAGTGGTATCATCATAGGTCACTGCAACCTCAAACTCCTGGGCTCAAGTGATCCTTCTGCTTCAGCCTCCCGAATAGCTGGGATTACAGGTGTGCACCACCATGGTTGGCTAATTTTTCTATTTTTTGTGGAGACGAGGTGTCTTGCTATGTTGCTCAGGCTGGTCCCCAACTCCTGGCCTTAAGCGATCCTCCTGCTTTGGCCTCCCAAAGTGCTAATAGTTGTGAGCCACTGCCCCTGGCCTAATTTCATTTTTTATTCTATCATCCTACCTATTAGTATGCAATAAACATACTGCGGTACATCTATTCACAAAGATTGCATTTCATTCAGTCAAGGAAAAACAATCTAATTTCCCCTATGCTTTCAAATTTTATTTAAAAAAAATGTACATATTCTGAGTTAAACATAGTTAGAAACCTCCACTGTGCTACTCTATGACAGTCTATGGCCAGTATGTCTGTTGCAGAAACTTAAAAAGTCTGTGCCCATCTCCTGGGCACCACCTCTAAGCATTTTGCTTTGGTTTTGTGGTGGTTTCTGGGCAGTTAGTACTATGGTCATAATGCTACTACATACTCTTTCAGCTTTGACAAAAGGAACATTGGGGAGCCTCAATGCCAGTGTTTTAAACCACCTATACTGTCTGAAATTTTTATAGTATGTAGACTATATAGGTATATCCCCTGAATTCCACATCAAGAACTAAATAGAGGCTGGGTGTGGTGGCTCATGCCTGTAATCCTAGCACTCTGGGGGGGCCGAAGTGGGCAGATTGCTCAAGGTCAGGAGTTTGAAACCAGCCTGAGCAAGAGCGAGACCCCGTCTCTACTATAAAGAAATTAATTGGCCAACTAATATATATAGAAAAAATGAGCCGGGCATGGTGGTGCATACCTGTAGTCCCAGCTACTTGGGAGGCTGAGGCAGCAGGATTGCTTGAGCCCAGGAGTTTGAGGTTGCTGAGCTAGGCTGATGCCACGGCACTCACTCTAGCCTGGGCAACAAAGCAAGACTCTGTCTCAAAAAAAAACTAAATAGAATTGGCTATCTATTTGGATGATGTCCTTGTTGTCTGAATCCTAGCTATTAGCTGTACTCAACTCAGGGACCGAATATATTTGGATAATGTGGTAACCCTTGCTGTCTAAACTCCTGCTATTAGAAGATGGAAACCCAATAGATTTGGATAGCAAGAGATACTTACACTGTGTTATGAAATCTACCTCCTATAGCAAAAAACAAACAAAAACCTAAAACCCCTCAAATCGATTAAAAGGGGGATTCATTTCAATCTTTTGCTTAGTCTTTGCCATGTTACTTCAATAATATTTACTATGGGGCCATGCATTACTCCTAGGACAATGAAATACCTGATGATGAATCAAAACCTTTTTTTCTTCTCCTGAGATTACTTGGTCATCTTTTAACTGTTCATTTATAAAGCAGAACAGAAAGTCATTCCTGAAGAAAAACATGCATTAAAATATGTCCAGAACTAGAAAGTGTCCTGGTGTACGTATTTTAAGGGGTACGGTACCCTTGCTGCATGCCCCAGAGGAATATGTTTACTACATACAGAGTTGCCAAAGAAGGAATTGGAACCAATTTATAGGCAGTTTAACTCAATATTAGCACTCATAGGTTGATTTTGTTTCAAAACTTACACTGTATGTGTTCTCTCCCTTCCAAAACACAAATAAATAAGTAAAAAAGAATCTAAAGACAAAGTGCAAGAACTTGGGAACTCTGACCCCTAATTTGCTGTAAACTTTTAAAAGCCATAATCATGGTTTCTCCTTCTTCTGTAATCAGTCCCTTCTTTTGGTCCTGAATAGCCATTAAAAATAAACAAGGGGTCCTAAGTCTTTTTGATTTTCATCACATACCTCACGAATCCTATAGCATCTTCAAATGCTCAAAGATACGGTCCCTAGAAGTCTGGGGGGGGGGGCGAATTCTACCAAGGCAAACACCAGCCAAAAAATTGATAATCAGAAAAAAACATAAAGGAATATTAAAAAGAACATTGAAAGCAGAAACAAATGACTAGAATTCCGTAGATTTTAGATTATTTGGTACTAACTGTATAGTACTTAAAAGGCAGTTATAACACTTGAATCTGTGTCCCAGTGCTTTTTAGCTATGAAATAGAATACTATGCTTTTCTATATGAGAGGAATGTTGGAAAATGGGAATAGTGGCATGAAATGTAATCTTCAATGTGGTAGGCACTCCTTTAAGCACTTCTGAGGCAATAACTCAGTTAGTTCTCTCAACTGTAAGAAGTAAACTATCATTATCCTCATGTTAAAGATAAGGAAACTGAGGCATAGAGTTTAGATATAACCTAAGTCACAAATAGTAAGAAGGATACGGCCTCAAAAGTGTGCATACTTAATCCATATATTATACTCCAAGTCATAGATATGCTTTTAGTTTGAAAGAAGGATCTATTAAAAAATCTTAAGAAACTAGGCCGGGCGTGGTGGCTCACGCCTGTAATCCTAGCACTTTGGGAGGCCGAGGCAGGCAGATTGCTCAAGGTCAGGAGTTCGAAACCAGCCTGAGCGACACCCCGTCTCTACCAAAAATAGAAATAAATTAATTGACCAACTAAAAATATATATACAAAAAATTAGCTGGGCATGGTGGCGCATGCCTGTAGTCCCAGCTACTCGGGAGGCTGAGGCAGTAGGATCGCTGAGCCCCGGAGATTGAGGTTGCTGTGAGCCAGGCTGACGCCATGGCACTTACTCTAGCCTGGGCAACAAAGTGAGACTGTCTCAAAAAAAAAAAAAAAAAAAAATCTTAAGAAACTAGAAGACATTAAGCAAAATAAACCAGGAATAGAAAATTAAACACTGCATGTTTTCATTCATATGTGGAAGCTAAAAAAAGTTGATCTCATAGCAGTAAAAAGCAGAACAAAGGATACTAGAGGCTGAAAAGGGTAGGAAGAAAAGGGATAGGGAGAGATTTGTTACAGCTGCAGTTCCCAACCTGAGGCCGCTGACCAAGCCAGCAAAGCTTCACCTGCACCCACAGCTGCTCCCGATCGCTGGCATCACTGCCCAAGCTCCCAAGCTCCTCCCTGCCAGGGAGATGAGCGGTGGCATCAGACCCACATAGGAGCATGAAGCCCATTGCAAACTGCACATGAGAGGGATCTGGGGATCCCCATGAGAATCCAATGCCTGATGATCTGAGGTGGAGCCAGATAGCAGTGACCTCCTACAAGCCTGGTGGGTGGAAAAACTGTCTTCCACGAAACTGGTCCTTGGTGTCAAAAAGGTTGGGGAGACCACTGTGTTAAAGGATACAACATTACAGGTAAGTAGGAGGGATTAAGTTCCAGTGTTTTGTACCACTGCAGGATGACTGGTTAACAATAATATATAGTTTTATGCCAAATGTTTAGAGGCTTAAAAAAAAAAGAAGAAAAAAACAAACAAAAAAAACAATAATATATAGTTTCAAATAATTAGAAGGAGGACAGTGAAATGTTTCCAACACAAAGAAATGATTAACGTTTGAGATGACAAATATGCTAATTACCCTGATCTGATCACTGTATGTTATATGTATTGAAACATCACCACGGACCCCATGAATATGTATGATTATTTGTCAATTAAAATATTAATGTTCATAATTCTTAAATCTAAAATTATGATCTTATATTTATAATTTTAAATTTTATGAATTATAATTTTCTGTAGAACCCTCTGAGAGAAAATATCCTCACCATTCAGCTTGTTTTCTTTGCTCTGCCAACTCATGGAGCCGCCGAAGGGCCTTTTCCTGTTTTTTCTCATCCTTGCGGGATCTTGAAGAGACATTTCGAGCAAACTCTCTCTGCTTGAGATCTTTTAATCTCTGAGTTAACAGAAAAAAAGAAACAGAGGGTAGGTGATTTAGAATAACTTGAGGATCTGAAAGCAAAGCCTTTAGAATATTTACCCTCAACCAATGGTTATAGTACTAGTACAGAATACATTATTATATTCTCTTATGGTGATTGAAAACACAATGGCTGATTACTTTGGATATAACACTTGGAGCATCTGCATTTCTAATTAAGACAGCATTTAGTTTGCCTTATCAGGCAAAATAAAATGATTTCAAAAGCAACAAGCAAATTTTAGAACACTGGGAGGAAAGAAAAAGGACTATTTAATCATTCACTCTTCCAGGATGCAAAACTAGACAAACAGAACATGAGATAAACTGTAATAACACAAGCCAAGAGAACAGAAAGGGGTTAGGCTAGTACAGAGAATTACCCAGGTATAAAATCTTAGAAAGCAATGTACAGCTTACATGGGGAAGGGTTGAGGGGGGGTGGTATTTGAATTAGAAGTAACAAGTAGAAAGCATACTTTTATTTCACCATAAAAAGGTGTTATTTCTTTTCAGCATGAACAGGTGTTATTTCTTTTCAGCATGAACAGAGGTTTCCTGTAACTACTAAACAAACCTAAGAGAGGTCTTCCAATGCTAGCATGTTCAGAGCTCACCAGTCTGACCACTTTCACTTGGTCAGTCTGTTTTAAATAGTATGTGTAGCTTTTCATTCCTTCATGGCCCTAAGAGGAACATTCAGGGGATGAGGAGGGAGAACAGAGATAAGTCAAAGATTTTATTACTTAAAATCCAGTTAACAGAATGGGTCTTTTATTCTCAGAAACTACTGTATAATTTTCCTTAAAATAAAAGAAACAACCACCAAAAAAGAACAATGCCATGACACACTGATGACAGAGTCCAGACACATCTATCTGCAATGAAGACAGAACTAAAATTATCTTCAACACATCAGCTAATATAAAAAACAAAAACAAAAGCAAAACATACACATTAGCCTATACTTTTACAACAGCACTGGGGAAAGGAATTTGACCCAATATAAAGTGGACATTGCTTTGTGGAAAGGCATCATGTTCAACAAACAGAGGACTTTTCATACCTAATACTTATGAAATGTGTTTTGAATCTTTTTTTTTTTTTTTTTTTTTTTTGAGACAGAGTCTCGCTTTGTTGCCCAGGCTAGAGTGAGTGCCGTGGCGTCAGCCTAGCTCACAGCAACCTCAAACTCCTGGGCTCGAGTGATCCTTCTGCCTCAGCCTCCCGGGTAGCTGGGACTACAGGCATGAGCCACCATGCCCGGCTAATTTTTTTTATATATATAATTAATTTCTTTCTATTTATAGTAGAGACGGGGTCTCGCTCTTGCTCAGGCTGGTTTTGAACTCCTGACCTCGAGCAATCGGCCCGCCTCGGCCTCCCAAGAGCTAGGATTACAGGCGTGAGCCACAGCGCCCGGCCTGTTTTGAATCTTTTTAAATTGAGAGGGGGAAGGGTAGAAAGACACACACAAATAAAGATATACAGCTAAAGACACTAGTAGAAAAACTCACTCTTGTGATCTGGGCTCCCAAATTAGAAGGATTTGCTTTCAATACATCAGCTGAAAATGTCACATCACAAAGAAAAAAAAGTAAAAAATAAAACAAGAGTGGAAGAGAAAAAAAAATAAAGCAAGCATTACTACACAAGCTCTCTTAGTGAATCTGCAAACTATTATAATGAATAATCAGGGACAAAGCCATCAACTATAAAAGGGCTGGGGAGAAGGGAAGCACCTGTACAACATATATATGTGCACATACACACAGACTGACACAGTAATCCCACGTAGATAAATGACACTATTTATATTTCTTTCAGGAAAAAAATCTTTACAGAACTTTGGAAAAGACCACTATGGTCTAAAAGCGTTTAGTCTTGTTTTCATTTACCTTTATTTTAAGGAAGATCAAGTAATCAAAGCTGGCAAAACTGTTACTGAGCCTGGCTGCCCACAATTAAGATTTTTATAAAACCACTTCAAGATGAAGGATCAACTATTTTAAGTAAATATGAATCCCAATTTCCTCCTTCTGAGGGGAATGGGGCAAAGAGAAAGAGCCCATCAGGCCTATTATATAAATATTTTAGACCACAAAGCTACTCTTTTCTTCCCCAAACATTTAACAGGCTTCCTAGCCAAGATTTAAATAGAACGTATGTTTTTCTCATGTCTGCCATCTTCTCTCTAGCCACCTCATAAGCCTGCAAAATCCTCCCAGGCCTAGTCATTTCCTCCCCTCTTACAAATACTTCATTACTTTTAGGAGGCATTTTTCAAACTACAGGACATTGTCCAAAAGTGCAATCATTTTATCAAAGTCTAGAGTGTCTAGACTGAATCAGAGATTAGGTTTTCTAAACATTCAGCAGTTACTTGGTACATCCTTGAAGTTGAAGGAATAGGACCATGTCCACATCATCCTGAAGACATCCTACCTCAAACTCCTACCACAGGTATATACAATTGGAGGTAGAGATGGAAGAAAATGGGATGACATCAATAAAACAAATCCAAATTGGAGGCTCCCTCTGGCAAACCTATCCTAGTACTCTACAAAGTTTAGCAAACTCCCACATCACCTTTACAAACTTTATAGTGAAGTCTGGGATCTCAAGAGTAGAATTGGGAACTTTAAGAATTTTAATCTTAACCTTATTGACAGTGCTCAGCAAACTCTCCCAAACCTAATATGTACATCTGAGGTTTCTCTTGGATGAGTATATTCTGATGATAAAAAAGGCAAGACACAGGTTTTTGTTTTTGAAGAGATGGGGTCTCACTATGTTGCCCTGGCTGTAGTGCAGTGGCTATTCACAGGCATGATTCCACTACTGATCATCATGGGAGCTCTGACCTGCTGTTTCTGACCTGAGCTGGTTGACCCCTCCTAGGGAAAACCGGTAGTCCCCTGCTCCCAGATGCCATCATACTGATGTCTAATTTAGTGTGGACACGTGAACAGCATGGCACATTACAGCCTACAACCCCTGGGCTCAAGTGATCCTCCAGCTTTGGCCTCTCAAGTAGGTGGGACTATAGGTGCGCACCACCACGCCTGGCCAAGACATGGGTTTTAAGGTTCACATTTTCCTTTACCTAGAATGAAGGCCTAACTCCAAGTCTCTCCTGCCTACTCAAGGTCAAACTAAATTCCCCTCACAAAGTCTCTACTGACCCTTCATAAGACAGGATTGTTCTTTCTGAAATATCCCTAGTAGAACTTTATCATAGCACTCACCTAGCAGCCATCATATTTTGCTCTCTGGCCAGTTATTCCTGTCTTTCAGAAAGGCAGTTTGTATAAAGCTTCAGAGTCAGAAAGACCTGAGTTTGAATCCATTAATTACTAGCTAAGTGATTTCACCTCTCTGACTTCCAGTTCCCTCATTAGAAAAATGGGGCTATCAACAGATTTGCAAGATTAAATATAAAAATAAATAGGAAGCATTTAATAAGTCACAACTTTTCAATACTGCCTCCCTTTTGTTTTGTTTGAGACAAAGTCTTGCTCTGTTGCCTGGGGGTAGAGTGCCGTGGTGTCAGCCTAGCTCACAGCAACCTCAAACTCCTAGGCTCAAGCGATCCTTCTGCTTCAGCCTCTTGAGTAGCTGGGACTACAGGCTCGCACCACCATGACTGGCTAATTTTTTCTATTTTTAGCAGAGATGGAGTCTCGCTCTTGCTCAGGCTGGTCTCAAACTCCTGATCTCAAGCAATCTTCCTGCCTCAGCCTCCCAGAGTGCTAGGATTATAGGTGTAAGCCACTATGCCCAGCCTGCCTCCCCTTTGTATGGGGCAGGTTCTATGGCTTATCTTTATAACCAACTCTGCAGTGCCTGGAATAGTACTAAGTCTATATTTATCCAGTAAATGCTCGATGAATAATTTGGTTTAAACATTAGATTCTTCATATTTCCCCAAATAATTTTTTCTACCATTTGTAGGAAAAATTGACATTAAATACTCTTATCTCCTCTAGGGACATATTCAAGTTATATAAGAAGGTCTTCTTAACTATCACTCTCAGATAGTAAGGAAGTCTCATAATTACTTAGAGAAACAAAAAGCCTGAAATTTTAAACCCCTTACTTCTGCATAGAATTGGGCCAAATGGCAAGAAAGATACTGACCAGAAACTTCTCAACTTCCTATCTAAAAAGTAATTTTTATAAAGGTACAAGGCCCTAATCAGAGTTTTCCAAAATTGCCTATTTTACTCCAAAAGGCTACCAAGGTCTGGCTCATTTGCCACTGAATGCCCATATGAAATTCTGTGAATTGCACTTTTCTCATAAATTCTAAAGAGGAACACAACTTTAGACAACTTCTTCAGGTGAGAAAAGAGGAGAAACATGCCTGCATACCAAAGGAGAGATAGAACTCACATACGACCAAAACTGGCAGACATGCCATCGATGTCTTGTCAGAGGCTGAGCAAATTCCACACCATACACAAAAATTCAAGTCAGACAGACACCAGACTGGGAAACAGTCTAATCTGAATGGGTTTAGTTAACCATTTAAACTGACTCAAAAGCTCTGACTATGGCCTTATCTCTGAAAATCATAAAGTATGCTTTCTGAAGAGTTACTAATAAAGTATCTTATTAGCTACTGAAGCTTATTAACAAAAATTTGAGGCACATGACACATTTTTAGTTAGGTAATATTTTGGTTCAAGGAAAGGAGACTAAACCTCACTCAAAATGAAAGGATGTGAAAATTCCACTTTCCTGAAAAATCAATAGCATTTTCCCCAAAAAGCATACATTTGTGGCATGGTACCAAACTGAAGGAACATTCCCCACATCCATTCACAGAGTGGCGGGATTTCCAATAAACTTTGCAAAAGACCAGTAGAGAGGGAAGACCTTAACAAATGATCCAGTTAAGGATCCACATTAAAGACCACCTCAATGGAATTGATGTTATGGCTTTTTAAAAAAAAAAAAAAAAGCTTAAACAG